GATTTTTGTCGATTTATACTACCGAGGATCGTTATATTTTTGATTTTAACACCGATGTGTGCTTTTTTATTGTCCGCCCGAACAATTTTTTTTTATCATAACGGAGAATGGACACGGTATACACAGTACTCATACCGTACAACTGCCGCAGATGCACCGTCATTATTATATAATCAACCGCTTATTGTCAATTTATATTACGACCGTTTACTATTATTAATACTATTTTATTTTTTTTTATTAAATACGATATTATCCGCTGCCCGTTTACCATATATAAAATTAATTACGTTTGTGTATATATGTATATATGCACTATAATAGTATAACACCAACACTTGAAATTATCAACCGTCGAAACTATACGACGTTACGTCGTATAGCTACTTCCTTTAATCGTTAAACGATTTATTTTGGAACGGGACCAAGATAAATAAGACACGCTGGGCTATCGTACATTTATACATAAGAATATCGTACAGTACCGTAGTTTTACGGTTTTCGTGTAGGCTATAAAATTCAATATAATACACCGCGCGTATAATTAATATTATATCGGATCATATTCTGCCTCTTCTCTCTTTTTAAAAGCCTTGTCGTATTTCTTCTCCGCCTGTTTCCGTCTGCTCTGTCTTCTATTGTTACTTCCTGGATACGTTCGATTAAGAAGTAATAATCTTCTCTCAGCAATCGGTTGCCATGGACGGCCGTCTCCTGTTTAACTTCTCGACCGAGGCTTTCTTCAAAAGGCTTCCTGTACACAATATGGCCTGCTCACTCGAGCAGTTTGCTCATCAGATAATCACTCGTATCGTATTTTTGGTAGGTTATTGTTGGTCTTCTCTATATTTGTTCTTCTTTTGTACACTAATATCGGTCCATATGTCCGTCTAACTGTCTATAAGTATATTATTCTTTCAGAACGTGGTATTTTTATAGTATGGGTTAATATTATGATTAACGTAGATATTATTGCCGATTGAATTTTGTAAACCATAATACTCGTATGGTCCTCAACATTTTTAAATATTCATCTACGGTCTTACAGTTAATAAATAATCACTTTTAATATCATATCTAACTTCCTTCATAAAATAGTGGTACATCCATTCATCAACAGTATCAATCTTTTTATCTCGTTTTTTAAACGTTTTTCTTCTTTCGAATACTTGTTAGTAATTTATTTGTTTTTCAATTTGATAATTTTGTTAGATTATCAAACGGTATATATCTATTCTATTGTTTCCTAAGATATATGTATACATGTATATATATATAACCATTAAATTGACCAGACACCTGCAGTTATAATAATTGTCGTTTACAATATTTTATTCACGTATTTATGAGGTTTTTGAATCCATCCTATAGTAAAGTATAACGTTTAAGTCAAACTCGTATGTATATGGTGGTAATATGATCTGTTATTGCGGTCAACGTGCGGTTAAAAACGTAGTGCGCGGCTATGAAGTGTATAGAGAGTATAGTTTTGGACGTTATCGCCGATTTCATCATGTGTGTGCACATAACATTACAGTACCCTTTTATAGTTTCTAGAAAACGTCATAGAAATTATTATTTTCATTAAGTACCGGTATAGTTAGAGCGACAAATTTACTGTAAATACAATATTTTTTTTAGGTCATTTTTTTTTTTTTTTTAATGTTTTTTAAGTCATTTATTATGTTTTCAAAATATCGTATTTTAGTGGTATTCTGTTTATTTTTAATGCAATATATTATATGTAAATTTTATAGTTTTACCGATATAGTATATAATTAGGTATTTACGCGGAATAATATTATATAATAATCCCAATAGATTCTCTTCAGTATTATTAAATATGACTAGGCTAGAATCAAACTCACTCAATGTTCCAAAAATCACAATTTTAAAAACACAAAAAACCGAGAGAGAGTTTTCCTGTACAATAAAGAAATACAAGATCAACGTTGTCTTATATAATTTAGCCTTATAAATTTAAAACAGTTATCAAAAGTTAAAAATTTCAGTTTATACATATTATATACATTATGTATACATTTTTGAGATTGAAGTTAGGCATATCATCTATGCTTTGGTGATATGTGAGTTTTCATATTATGGATCATGTGATTTTTTACACGGATAAGTAGGGTTCAGCATCACTGATCCACATGGATCTTACGTGTTATTAGAGCCTGATTTAGAATTTTTTAGAACCGAGATAAAAAGAAAAAGTTTGCCTATTTTTAATCCATTTTATACGAATATTTCTTATCTCATACCCATATATTTTGTATGAAACTGAAAAAAATAATTTATATTGGTTAAAAAATCAGATTCGCCTTTAAAAATCCTATAACACAGCGTAGGTAAATCATATTTCCATTTTTTTTTTTCTGGAGTTCTAATTCTAATCTACTCATATATACTCGTGTATAAATATTATGCTTTGCGCATACAACGTTAAATTTTCTATTTCTTACTTCTTTTATGCGTCGTCGCGTATACATAAATTATAATAATAGGTTTGGTAAAAAAGTAGACGAAAAAAAAATGAAAATGAAAATTAGACTCGTCGCTTTTAGATCGTTCAGGAAAAAAAAAATATATATATATATATAATCTATAAACGTAATAATACGAACCGGTGTATCTATATATATATATATATAGGTACCATCTGCGGCGGCGGGTCCGGGGACAAAATATTATAATAAGTTACTGTTGAAACCCGCCGCTGTTGAAGTCGCTGGTTAAGTTATAAGACCCGACGGCAGCGGCATATTATTTATATATTTTATACAATGGATTATCCACGTAAAACGCGTGTGCCTTCTATGGTCAATTTTAATTACGAGCCTTCTTCTCTGTGTAAGTATATAATATACAGTGTAGTAGATAATATTTAAATGCTGCACCCGCCATGTTGGACATTATCTTGTGTCAACATTTTAGGGCGCATTATTCATCCGCCGCATAGTTTTTTTTTTTTTTTTATATTATTATGGTAATTTGCTCGCGGGTATACATCCTATATATATAGATAGAAGGCAACACCACCGCCTCAATCTAGCTTCTTTGGCGGGCACCCTGTTTCACCGGGCACAGGATGATGTTCTGTACTACAGGTAGTTGTCGTATATACCGAAGCGGCTACAACAGGTGTGTTACATATTGTTATGTACCAAAATATATGTTATAATATTCGTGTATACCCGTTTTCCCTTCTTAAATACTTATACAAATGTCGCTCGGACCCTTTTTGCGTAAAAACTATCGATTATATTTTTAAGCAGTTTTTTTTCTCATTCTTTGATCCTAGTAAGTGTGTTGTTATTAATTTTAGATGCTGAGTTTAATGTAGACACTATATTATAATATTGTTTTACTGTGGTGTGTTATTTTTCTGAAATCGCTTTTACGGTTAGTGAAGATGTTCTGACTATCTGATGTCTGTATTAACATTAAAATATAGGGAATTTTCGCTTATAATACTTGAAACATTTATCGAAATTTTCAGTAATTCATAGGACTTTTTTTAATCTCAGATTTTTCCTGGGTTATATTTGGCAACAGTTGAGGGAGAAAATGTGATTATAATATTACTACGCTCAGAATTGATTTTTCGTTTTGCAACTATTTATCGTTGCATAAAGTATACACTTAAGTAATGCGTACCCTACCTTCCCAACCACCCATCCTACTTAACCCGTGAGCAGTTTCAAATTTTTTGTTTTTGTCACTCTATAATGACGGGTTAACTATTCCGAGTACCTAAACTAATTTAAATTTGTGTGCAGCGGATACTTCAAACGTTTTTTTATAGTTTTCAGGGGAGTAACAATTTTTCATAATATTCGGACGGTGTGTTTAGAAAAATGTATACATCCGTTTATCGTTTTAAAATCAAAACCATGATGACAAATCACACCTCATTTATATATACGAGATATCTCAATTTTGGTCAACAAATATGAATAATAATTATTTTTTAACATTCATACGTCAGCTTTTTTTTTATGTAGGTAAATCTATTTATTTACACACGAACTAACTTTCTTGCGTATTTTCGTCGAAATGAGAATAAATTAAAATTACTGAAGTATTTCTAAGATTAATAAAATATAATACTTCTGATAAACCGTATTAGTCATATTATTATTGTGAAAATTACACACCGGTTTAATGATTTTTTTTCATGGATTTCATTTGAGCATATTAATATGATTGTATCAAATAATTCATTAAAATCATTGTTTTGAGCAACTGGAAATATTATAAATATTTAATTTTTTTATGGATTTAATAGTATTTTTAAACAGACAATTTTATCACCGCGTTCGTCTATAATATGATGCGTACGTATAATTTATCGAATTCGACAGAGTTCAATATAATTGTTGTAGTTTGATTGGAATTTAAAACCATTTTTGTAGAAACTACTATACTATTGTGATTAACGATTTTCGATAAATTTTTTTTCCATAATTGGTACCTACTTAAAAATTATTGTTGAACAAAAAATAAATAACGATGGTGTCATCATATAACGCAAGATAAATTATACTTCTTTGATTTTCTTTTCTTCTGGAAGTATACAATTCGGAATAGGTATATAAATATATTATTATTTTTTACATATTATACTTTGAATAGGGTACCTAATTGTACCTATAGCTAGGTATATGTACAAACCAGTTTACCGATTAACATGATCAAACTATACACGTTGCAGCAGTGTCTTCAAACACGAAAAGGTAACATGATTATCTGCTGATAAAATCTATAGATACAATATTATAATATAGTAAACCTAGAAGGCATAATATTCGAACGGGCTTTGCTGTAGTATAATACGAATTATACGTAGTATTTAATCAGATTTATCTACCTTGGGAAAGTTTTAACAAAATAGTACTATTTATTACATTATATTATATAGTTGAACGAAAATTTATTGTGTCGTTGATAATAGTAAATTATTGTTTAATTTTTTTTGTTTCTATTAATATACCTTTGTAGGTACCTATAATGTTATAGTATTAATTCGAACAAATTGATTTAAATATCGCGGGATTATAATATCAAAAATAATGAATTCCCAGTGCGGCGTGTAACTCATTATTCGACGGAAATCGAAAAACTACAGTATCGTATGATGTCAGATTAATGTGATGTAATATAATGTTATGTTCTATTATAATATTATAAAGTTTATAGAGATAATAATATTACAGATGCCTATAGTATTTTAGTGCTTCGTATTCAAAAATATTGGTTACCTATTGTTATTGTTTTTTTTTTCTAACTCTTGATGACTTATCAAAAAAAAAAAATTGTCGGAGCATCTTAATAATAATATCATAACGAAATAACGTAGATTTTTCAACGACAATAGCTGGTTCCTGTGTTGTTTTTTTTTTTTTAGTCTACCAATTGTTTTTTAGCTAGCTCAGCGGTATAACTTGCTACTGTTGTAACCCAGGTGTTGCAGTTTTTACGTATTTTTTTCTCCATTTTAATTAGTCAGCTACCTTTCGATACGATTTTTCGCGTAAATCGATGAGACTACCTATATTATTATATTCTATTTGGCGCGGTAGGTGGGTATTGAAATAAAATTAAAAAAAAAAGTGCGCGTTAATTAACATATTTTATCGCCCGACAGAATTAATGACGCGTGTCAATGGACACCGCCCGTTGTTGAAACTCTAAAGCCATTAAAATCCATTCCAATATTTACAACAGCAGCGTGATAATTTGTGTACACACTTAAAAGTGGCCGATCAAACTGCAATATCAATAACAACAAATAACTATTATAACTGATGCAGTGCTTTATAATCATAAGATTTTTTTTTTAAATTATTAGTATAGTATAGGTAGGCAACAGGAGGCAATATTAATAATTTACGATAATACCCTACCTAACTATCTAAAATGTTATTAATATTTTAAATTGAGTTTTTTTTTGTTACTGTTGCAGTGCGATATATATATATATATATATATATATATATTAAAATTATTAAATAACAATCCTTTGATACATACAGTGTTAATTTGTTGTATACAATGTGCACGGTAAAAAATAATATTTGGTTCGTATAATATTATATGCAATGCGCATAATTTAATTTATATAAGTACGCAACGAAAAACCGGTTCTAACGTAAAAATGATTCTGAGCAGAGTATTATTAGTCGTATATTTCCCTTGTTGCTAACGTAACCCAGAAATCAACAACAATTGTACAAAAAATTGCCAGTTTTTCCCATTTATTGAGAAAACTACTAGGAAAAAAACCACCTCTATGTACCAATACTGGATCAAAAATGCTACATGGAAGTAGTTCAAAGCTTTTATTTCGAGTAAGGATTCTGGTAGAAAAGTTGTTTACAGACACCAGAAAAAGACACATAGGTAGTAAAACCAATACATTAAGGGGTTTGATTCGCTCAGAATTAAAAATTTATATAAACGGAAACTGTTGTTCTGTAAATATTTTTCCCGAATGTTCCCTATTATCAATAAATGTACAAAGAAAAAAAAAACGACGCCCTCAATTCACCAACTATGACACAATTTTATAACGACCTATACATAATAAATTGTATTATATATATATATATATATATAACATTTTTAAATCTGATGTTTTGTGTTCAAGTTTATATTTCGACTGCAAAATATTCCATTAACGGTGCAGATATTTTGTTTGTGTTGGGCCACAGCAGTTTTCAGTAATTGAATTAGTTTTTTTTTGCCTTTTAGGTACCTACTAACATTTACTCTTATTGGTTATTGCGTTGCATAACAAAATTAATTGCTCCCGCGTTTCAAAATATTTAGATCATTTGTAAAGGCCAAATGCGTTTTATAAAAGAAGAATAATACGCAACACCCGACCAGTAGTTATTAATATCAATTCTTAATATTTTTTTTTAAAATGAGCAATGTCACAGTGGTGTAATTTTCATAACTTTTTAGGTCCTAAATATAATATATTACAATTATTAAAAGTTTCAACAGCAGAAATCGTTAAATAAATATTATATTAAGCTAATGGTTTTTTTTTTTTTTTGTATAATAAAATATTTCTCGTATACACTCTTTTATGGTCGACAAGAGAAAAAAATAGATGTGGACATTTGGGTTATGTGATTTTTATGTATTATGTTTGATTATATAGATAGAAAAAAGGAGAAGTGCTTTTTTTAGACCAGGTGGTCTAAAAAAAAAAAAATTCGGATACTTGTGGTTTCATCCATTTATGAAATCAATGTGAAAATGTGTATGAGGTCCATTTAGTTTATCTAAAATTCTGTACTGTTATATTTAAAATAAATCGGTTAGTATATAATATTTAATTATTTCGTATATCAACAGATTTAATTGTAATATGGGAAAGGTTTAATCTTATCTGTATTATCGTAAAAATATCGATTCATTTAAAAAAAAAATCGTACCGATTATTTTAATAAATATACGATAACAAATCCTATCAATGCAGCTCTTTTATTTTTAGTATTTTTATAATAACACAATTCATAAGTTGCCATACTGAAAAAAAATATATGATATTATAATAATAATTACGAGTTTCTCATAAAAACAAAACAAGATAAACGCGTAGGTAAAATGTTTGGTTTCCGTAGATAAACTAAAAAAAATATAATCAATGATACCTAATTAATGAAATTAACAAAAAAAAAAATAAAAATAATTTTAAGTTTCGTATAAAGTTCCTAAGTATAATATTAATAAGACTTTCAATATACATATTTATTGTTTAACGGTATTTGATAACTATTATCAATTATTAAAATATTCTAAGTTAAAAAGGCATCTTTTGTATTTAATTGAAATATTTTAGTTCAAGGTTTAATATTTACCTACTTATCTAATCTTTTGTATAAAAACGATTTTTATCTTATTCGTTTGTTTGTTGTGAATTAAAATATTACAAATGATGCAGTTTTAATACATATACAAGCATTTTTTTTTATTAGCTTATATTTCATTATAGTACATATTATTAAATGTATAAAATGACATTGGTTATTAATAGGTTATAATATATTATACTAATAAATTATAATACTAAAGGGTTATATAATTTGCTGACGGTAGTATTATTCAACAATATTTCAGATCCGTTGTTTATCTTTTTATCTATTGTGTATATAAGTGGAGTTTCAGTAGATACTGTAGTGTGTCAGCAAAATTAAATATTCTCTTGTTTACTATATTTAATATAATAATACTACTAATATACTATAATTAATTGTATTATTGGCTTCCAGTGTTGTTTATTATTATGTATAAGTTCGTATCGATACGTTTTTGTTTATTTTTATCAAAATGTATTCTTTAACAGAAAATCATAGTATTTACTGCAATGATAACAATAGTATTTGTTAACAGTCGATTTTAACTAACTCGTCGATTGCGTGTAAGGTAAAGGTATATTAAATTTTTAAAGGTGGACTAGTTAACGAAAATAGTTATCTAAACTTAATTAAATTCAAATTAAATAGACTAAAAGGTTTTCGGTAAAATGTTATCAAAAAAGTTAATACTACTTAGGATGGGTAGTTGGGATGGTAGTATAAATACTAAACGGGACAATTTAGTTTATGTAACATAACGATAGAGCATTGCAAACGAAAAACCAATTTTGAGCGGTGACGAGTAATAAAAGTCTAGTTTTTTCTTTATTGTCAACAAGGTAACCCAGTAATCAAGAAAAATTAAATAACAAAAAAAGTACTCGGGGGGTGAATTTCTAAAAATATTTATAAATTTTTCAAAAAAGTATCATCAGCCAAAATAATCAGTTCATTTTTATCAGCCATCAATGTGTTTTTCGAGGAAAAACAATACGTCTTTGTAAAACTAATGTCTTCGTCATCATACTCAGAATATAAATAATGATAACCAGGTTAAAAAAAAGTTAATTTATTTGTCTTCAACCAGTTAATTTATAACCTATAAACTGGATGTTAATTACGTATTAACACAAATCAATATGTTCAAAGTCGAGTTTATACACTTTTTAGTTCAGTTATATTTAGTTAGTTTAGTTTAGTTCTTTTTAATTAGCTAGCGTTAAAATCAATCAACTATCAACCAGTGGGGCTAAAAAAATAAAAAAAAACTAACTATAAACTGTGAATAATGCCCACTGTGGTATCAGTAATATAAGTACCAATAAAAACATAATGTATATAATCCGTGACTTGATTTACTAAAATTTACTTTATTTAGTTCAAACATTTTACTGTTACTAATATAATATAAGGTTGACAATTTTTTCTTTGAAAAACTATCTACCTACATTAATATTTTTATTTTATAGCAAGTAGTGACTAACATATTATATCTAAGTATACCGAATTTCAGTTCCAAAGACCGAGAATATAATAGCGTTATTGTGTACCTATATTATATTATGTATCCGTTGACCATTTTTTGTGTTAGTGTTCACAATGGAGCTGTTTGAAAGAGTAGGCACTTTTTTTTTTCTGTTAAAAATAAAACGGTAGCCACACAAGGAGGTATTATACACCAACCGGATGCGTGCGCGTGTACGTGCCAGCCCAAGACTCTGCGGGTTTAAAATAATATAAAAAAAAAAAAAAGGATACCGAATCATTTTTCCTCTTTCATTATTTGTAACGTTTGTTGAAGTTCCAGATAAACTGCAGTCATCGGGAATATTGAAATCATTATCGTCCGTTATTTGTGCACGAATACGCCAACCATTCCATTATAATAGTGGCCCTCTGGATAGTAATATTGTTGTTTGAGGCCAATGTAAAAAATTATTTTGTGTATATATATATATATATATATATGTATATTGTTTTCTACGAATACCTCTCTATAGTAGATTTGAATATGCTTACCTATGTAACCTAAATATGTAGCAGATACTCGAAACCTATATTGGAATGTAAAAAAATCAAAAAAAAAAACTAATTTGTATATTTGTTTTTCATAAATGATTTTATTCTCAGGTTAATAACATTTATTTTGCCCGATACACTGATATTAGGTATATAATATGTCCAATAACGTTTTTTTTATTCTTGCATTTTGTTATTTCTGATAAATTTCTTCGACACTTACATGATTACGTATAACTATAGCGACACAAGTAATATTAAAAAAAGCCGCAGTAAAAGGAAAATAAAAAAAAAACTTTCATAATTTATTATTATTTTCATATTATAATAAATTGATATCATTATATATATATATATTTTTTTTTATGTATATATAAATTAATTGTATAATTTATAGAATTTTAATTAAGTTAGAATAAGAAATATATATTATATATTTATATATATGCCTAGATTAAATTTTACAATATTTACATTTACCATTAATATTGCACCTCGTGTTATAATAATATGCGTACTCAAACTTGATAATCAACCTCAAATATGCATTTACTTGTAACATTTCTTTGGTAAATTATTTAAACTCAGCTATATTTAAAAGATAATATGTTTCATAGTATTATTGTTATGTTTCAGCATTTTAAAAAATAAAATTGAATACAACAAAATTAAAATAAAAACTAAACAACCGATTAATTTAAATCGTTTTTATCATTTTAAAACATCTTGTCACATATAATTATAATTCATAGATACTAAATGTTATCACTCGCCAAAATATCTTAATGATTTTGTACACGATTGGAGAGAAATGAGTGACCAACATTACCAATTTTACCTCAAACCAGAAACCGAATGATTTTTATCATTCTTTAATCAAATAAATAATAATCATTTTTTCTTACAATGAAAATCCTACAACTCAAGAAAAGAGCTATATATGTATTTTTTATGAAAAATAATACAACATATTCTAAAATATGAAAAATTGGCTTAATATTCTCCAATCTCCAAAATATGTTCAGATATACAAAATACATTTTTTTCACGTATTCTATAATGGATACATCGTTCTCATTTTTCATTCTCTTTGCACCGAATAAAACCAATAAATATACGTAAAAACTTAAAAATCCTCTCTTTAATAATAAGTGTACTTTTACTCGCGATTTCTCAATAATAATTTAATATAATTTCGATAAATAATTTATTTAAAACATCTAGTGTAGAAAATAGAAATTATGTAGCTATACTTAAAAATGTAATTATTATAAATGTTCTGCATTCTGCATATATCATTATATTATACAGAATTTAATCACGAAATAGATTTATTTTTGAATCTATATTTTATAATTTTATTCTCCCGTCCTTTGCGAGTTAGGCTTATGAGTTAGAAGACTGGTCTCCTATATATTATTCTCGTCCAATCTCTTTTTGGTTACCCTACCTTTTACTGCCTTAGCTTTCTTTTAAAATTACCCTCGTTATATCCATTCTTCGCGTTTCCTTTCTTTGTTCTACAAACTTCTACTAATTATTACTCTATACATTTTTCTATTTTCCGCCTTATACGCATACTGTTAAACATGTGCCTATCGTTTACCTTTTAAAATATGTACTATCTTCTGTGTTACTTTACTATAATTATGCTGTCTCGTAAGGATATAAAATAAAATAATTTTAGTAATGGAATATATTTTCTAAGCTGTTATTAATAATATCCCCTTGCGATATTTGAAATCGTATGAGAACTTGTACAAATCGTTATTAATTCAACTTCATCTACAGGATAATACTAGAAATCGCACGATGGTTATTATCGAATAAAAATACAACTCGTACAAATTTCGTCTGGTTTTACATTATATTAGGTACCTATATTCATAAATAATTATATATTATGAGGTACTTATAATCAATTTATTATAGATACTCAATTTTAGGAGACATATATTAGACGGTGCGTATAATTTATGAAAGTAAATATGTATAATATAAAGCTTATATTACGTTATAATAAATATTATAATTATAACAGTTTTCCAATTAGGTTAAGTTGCCTCGAGTGACTACTGTTTATTATATTATGAGTGTGTATATATGTTTTTTAAAAACGTTTTATTTTTTAATTTTCATCCGCAATTATTTGCAGGTTATCAGCCTATTTCGTAATAAATTTTATTATATAAAAATACAAATTATTACAATCGAACTTTCTATACATATAAGTATAGGTACTATAAGAACCGCGGTATAATAAAAACGTACCTATTACTGAAAATACATATAAATGTAATAAAAAACAATTTCTTTAAAAATATAATTACTTTATTAATCCGTATAAACATTAAAAATATACCATCGTCGTTACTCGTTAACCAAATATGTATATAATATTATATTGTGTATTATATTTATACACACGTGAATAGTACATTTTTCGTAAAATTACGGTGCGGATAAATATTTTTTTTTTTTAAATCTCAATGAGTTAGAAACTCGTAAAACGTATATAGATTATGAACTTACCGTGTGTATACCTAATTAGTGTGCGTGCTGGTAATAGTTTTATTTTGAAAATTCGACCATCGTAACTATTTCATATTGCAGGTTATAAAAATTATTATTTTCATCCGTACGATATAATATAATATTACATATTATTAATGTAAAAGTCGTCTCTGGTCCATTATGACTACGGGGAGTTAGTTGGTTGGAAATCTCATTTATATTTCTATATGATTTTATTAGTTTTCCTCGGATTCTTTTTTTTTTCATTTTTTCGACGGTTAAGTGGATCCAAATTATTACTGCTTATAAAGCGGATTTTTCAGTCTCCTGCAGCATCAACTCGACGATCGCGACGCCCACCGGGTTCCCACTAAAATATTAATATGCGGACGACTGATGCAGTGTACAGCAGTCGGTGCACAGCGGGTGCAATCTATCACGCGCCGAACGAGCATCATACTAGTAGATAAATACTATTATCGAATATAATAATATTATTATTATTATGTGTTCGAGGCATCGTGGTGTAGTGTACACTATACACTTCCCAAGTCCTCCATCCCTCAGGACCCCTACCGTTGCCCCTAATATGTATAGGGTTTAAAGCGTGTAAGCCATTTATATATGTATATATTTATACAACAGAAATATATTATATAGACGAGATTGATTTGCGTAAGGTCAGACCCGACCGCCGTACGCGATCCGTTTCACACGGCTCTCCCTTTTTCGGGTGCAGTGACACTGAACAATTGTCGGCCGTAAGCCCGATATTATACTGCGACTGTCTGCAGTGTACTTTGTAAACGTGAACGTACCCTATGTTTGGTATACCCCGAGAAACAAAACAAAATGTGCGATACCGCGTACATATAGGTACCCGACCGCTTATTTACAGACGTGATTGGCCCAAACAGTATGTAAATACGAAACTCGTCGTAGTTTTCTGTCGACTAGGATACCAGGTTTTAGGTTTATACATATAAGACATTAATGCATTACTCGGAGCATTATCGGCTAAGTGTTTTCATTTCCTCTCTGTTTTGTCTGTAAGCCAATAGAGGCTTTTCATAGACTAGGTATGGTATAGGTTTTAAGTTTACAATTAGGATGGCATTCATTTTCTTGGAGCATTATCAGAATAAGACCAACAAGTAGGTTATGTTATGTACAATTTCTATAGTAAACTTAGTTTTTTTCGGTTTGGACCGAACTCGGATAGTAAACTCGTTACCAAATTAAACGGTATTATATGCATTATTGTTTTTATATTATATATTAGTTAATATTTTTTTAATTATTATTTACAGGGCTTTCCAAACGACTCTAAAACTCAACGATGCTGTTCCTCGCTCTGTTGTCGGTTGTGTTGGCATGCTTCTTCGCCAATGCCCAGCAAACCGGACTTGAACACCATGTTATACCGTATAAAGGTAAGCAATTAATTTAAAGTTGTTGTGCACAAAAATAAAAAATAAAAATCAAACCGTCATAATTCTCACCCTGTACAACCCCATCGAATGTTGTTAACAGGAAGATATGGTATATATATATATATATATATATATAATTATATATTACACATAAAGGGTGATGGGTAGACGATTCTGAGTGGTGCTCGGTTTAACATTTTCTTTACGATTAAAATTTGATTAAACAAGAAATAATGTACGATTTTTAAGAATTAAAAAAATATGACAAATTTTTTCAAGCATTTATAGACATGGTCAATTGGTAAATTCGAATACTTAACATGAAAGAGATAGTTTAATAGAATATATTTTTGTCACGTCCATTAAAAAAACTACTAGGATTTCTTTTAAGTTATTTATTGCAGAATTAAAAAAATAATAATAAATAAATAAATTTATTTTCGACAAAGGCTGTCGAGTCGGAGTTGTGTAGTATAAAAATATTCTCGTTTTACCGACTTTTTTTCCGGTTTTCCTCGTTATAGGAATTTCGTTTGAAAAATGCATCCCGAATGTATCACCTTTAGGTGCTTGTACACTAAAATAAGTTGGTACCAGAAACCAACCACACACAAGTCTTCTGGTCAAAATTGTGCTGTAAAAAAAATATCACATAGTAAAACTGATACGCATTCCACTCCCCGTCCAAAATCTAAAATAATATTACACCGCCATAGATAAAAATATTATTATGGTCGTTCTTAACTATAAATAGTTAAACGTCTTGACGTTTTTGATAAACGTCAAACGGACAGTGGCGCGGACAATAATATTATTCCTTCGGAACTCACGAAGCTGCCTTGAACCGTCGTCGTCGTGGGTTTCTATATAAAAAGTAACACTCGTATAATATATAGAAAGTACCACTAAATCATCGTGCGATGTGACACGACAGTGCAACTTTGCAGAGTATAATAATATAAGTACCCTAACGAGCAGGAGACTTATTTAGATGGTTTGCTGCAGATTCTCGAGCACTGTGTCTACGGGGGTTATTACTATTATTATTATTATTATTACGGTTGCATGACTAAATTTAGTGTTAAAAAGTGCGCACGCTTTGTTGTCCGTTATTGTCCAGAGTCGGGTAATAAATTTACCTCGACGTGTATAAATATGACATATTATATTTTATCTGTGTATTACCGTAAAAATTGCGTTTCAGAGTAATATATAATTTTACTACTGAACGATAAAACTGCAATACCAGGTACCTAATTATTACATCGTCACAATAGCAATATGAATAATGATGATAATAATAATAATAGCAATAAAATAATAACTTTTTTTTTTATCTTTATCGTTTAATAAAGCAATAATATTGTTATTAGATTATATGTGATACATAAGGTGCTAATTTTTTTAGATATTATTTATAATATAACTAAGTGGCGATCTATAACCTAGTAATATTATTATATGGCTACAGTTACATATTTCCATAAACTAGGCAAATACACATAATGAATTTATATTCTGATAACTACCAAACTTGTATAGTATATGTTCTATGGGTGCAATAATGCAATTGACATAATATTATTAAATATTTTTAAGTATTGGTGTATATTTGTTTTTATCTGTCACAATAAAAAGACGACAATAATAAAATAAACGCATCATCGTTAATTTTTTACTTAGTTGTGTAAGTATTTATTACTTAATTAAATAAAAACAAAAAAAAAACAGTTTTTCAAATTATTATTTGAGTAGTTTCATTAATGAGCATTAATTAGCATGCATAATTTTGTCTTCTTCTTATCTCTGGTATCACAACACTTAAATAGTTTTCGTGGCGACATTGCCTTCCAATCTTTGTATTTGTATAGGTACATTCTCTTGCAGCCAATACACTCTACGTGCACTCAATTTATTTGGGTCTTGTTTCACCCCATCTATCCATCGTTTTTTTGAAGGACGTCCCCTAGTTCTTTGTATACGATTGAATTTCAAGAAATTATATCAAACCCGTATTTACAGTAGGCGTGAATCCATTAATATCCTTGCATTACCTATATATATATATTTAAACAAAACATTATAGGCATTTTAGATGCGGAAATTAAGTTTTTAATTTAAAATTTTATTTAGTCAGTATAATGTTATCCAGTCAATATTAGGTCGTGCCATGACCCGACTGGCCTGATTAGTAGTTTTAACTATGGGTGTAACTCAGAATAAGTATATTAGTTACAAGTTATGCCGAGACATCAATATGTTATGTATTCTATAACTATTTTCTATAGTCTATTACTATTATTTAATAATTGATTTTTTTTTTTTTTAAATACACTTTATAGATTGGTCGAATCCCTATTTTTATCTATGTCCCGAGCAAAAACCAATTTAGCCACTTTCAATTCGAAATCATAACTACGCCACTAAGTATACCTGCATTATAATGTAGTGCTAAAAAAAAAAATATATATATATATATTATAATACCGAAATGCAATGCAGCGTGGTTATAATACATCTACTTGTATATAATGTAAATGTATCCCAGCCAAAAGACAATATAATATTGTAATAATATATAGATTTAAGACAATGGAAATAAAAAATTAATACCAGTGTTGTTTTTGATTTCGCATCAGCGTTAAATATTAAATAGGTGTATATATATATATATATATAATACGGATCAATCCGTTTGGCTAGGTTTTATTAGTAATAATAATCATCTGAAGCGCATAGGCACACAGGTACGATAATAATAAGGCGAGCGAAAATGGCACACACGTATTTATATATAGTGTACCTACGTTATTATACTGTTAGACGAGACGCGGTTTTTTTTCTTCTTTTGAATCTCGGGACGTTCAGGAGGTCCTTGCCATCGGGGGTTTGTAATATACACGAAGACATTTTTTTTTTTCGCGTTCGTGACCTTCGTTTGCGGACGTCCGGATCTCGCGTCACTTCGCGGAGGGGAACGTTTTCTCGTTAATGAAGACGTGCCCGTTTAGGCTATATAGGTACTCGCATGTATACAAATCATCCGTTATAAGACCAGAAGCTCTGCCGCGACCGGCTCTGAAAAAGAATGCCGTATTGTCCTTATACAGTGCTATGCCGGACCTGCAGTGTGTGCGTATTTTTTTTCTTCTTTCCCGACCGTAGTCCACTGCGCGTCGCGTTTGGCCCCGAGATTTCACGTCTGCGTCCTAAATTTCGAATTTTCGAAAACACACGCGCGCGCTCTGTACGTAAACTGCAGGGATTGAATTTTTTTTTTTTAATTGGCCCACTATATTATTATTGTAATGTACTCGGTCTCGGCCGCGGGTGCCAGCGAGACGGGGAAATATCGTATAGCAGCGGAAAACAATGCCCGCAAAGTTTGCATAATAATAACAATAATAATGGTAATATTTCTATAATGTCAACGGTGACTCGGCGGAACGCGCGCGCGATGCCATAGACTGTTTCCCACGCGAGAGCGCGCGCGCGCCCAGGCGACCATATCTGTTCTGTGATAATAATAATAATTGCTGTTGTTGTTGTTGTTGTTATTGCTGCCGTTATAATAAGAATATAATAATAATAATATTATATGGGAGAGGTCAAGGGATATGATAAAATATTATATATAGGTAGCGAAACTCGTGGGCAAACTTGTTGATCGCGGATGTAGTCATAGTTGCCTATACCGTGTTGCGTGGTGTACCGCGAATTGCACAAAACCTACTGCTGCAATTACGCGGTGTCTTATATCGAACATCCCGATTATTATCGAAGTTTTTTCACATACACACACACACAAAACATAATATTTTATACTTTCACGGTATTCAAACTAATAATATTGCACACACATTATAATACTATAGTCATTCTTTCTTTCTTCTTTATAACTTGAAAGTTTTTTAATAGCTTCCGCTATCAACACAACTTCTGTCCATCTATATTATCTTCAACGTATTATTCCCATTTCATCCGTGTCTCTTCCATGAACGCTTTCTGCATCTTCCTTTGGAAATTTTACCCTTTGTTCTCCATATTGTATTTATACAGTCGTTTTGATTCCGTCTTCATTTATCCTGTGAATGTCCAAACTGCAGTCTTTGTCCTTTTGATAAAATTAATTATCACGTATACGGTAGATTTGTTATCTCACGTAGCTCCTTATTATTGCTACTCATACGTCCCTTTTCAATCAAAAACCGCACCGCATATCGAATTCAATATTTTGTTTTCAAATGTGATTTGTTTTTAATTATTTTTTCGATAATCCACTGCTATGACATTAAAACGGCTAGAATGAAATAACGAGGGTTTTCTACTTGGGTTCATTTTATTATGTACCTGTTATACTATTACTGACCACATGATGTTTTCAGTGAATATACACGATTAGTGGTGAAATCATTTTTGTTAATCATATTATTACAGGTAAGCTAAATAAATCCGAAACGTTTAAAAGGACACGGATTAGTTTCACTCGAATCGAAAGAATGATACTTATTAATATACTTCGAAAATTAAAAAAAAAAATTTTTCTTCACTTTTGTATTCGTAAATAAATATTTTACTTTCAGAAAACACTTGACCATATGTTCCTATTATACTCGATTAATAAAATACGCACTTGACTTTCTCTTGGTTTTTTTTTTAAATAACCAAAGATGGATTAGATTTGCTCTTTATTGTTACATGTTGCTTGCTGCAGGTTAAGTTTTCATTCGTATTAATGTATATCCTTTTTTTTCTCTCATTCGATTATCGAATTCTGATCAGATTATAAAAAGATATATGAATTTACTGGGTACGACACGACATGTTTTCGAAAGTAAGAAACAAAAAAAAAAAAAAACAATTTGTTAATCTTCATAAATCTTAATTGTATATAAACCAAATGAATAATAATAATAATTATTATTATATCCAGTCTAACGTATTGGCCATAAACAATTCTTTTTTTTTTTTTAAATTATTAGTTCATCGGACGTGTTAATCTTCAGCGTGTAAGAGTACACCGTATCTTAAGTATTTTAAGTGTTGCCATAAACTTATTTTGTATATTATATAGTCGTACGTGCTAATTTTGATATGCCCGAAGTAACGACTCGTTGTAAAGAAAATACAAATTATTATATCAGAACCGAGACAGGGGATAGGAAAAGAATTAATACCGCGAAGGAAATAATAATAATTTGTTTAGAGATGAAGTTAAGGCTTCGTGTAGATTTATTTTTATTTTTTTACTTGACGTGTACATAAAACATTGTTGATATTTGAAGTAACCGCATTTAAAAAAGAATAAATAATAATAATAAAAACAAGAAAATAAACGACGAATGTATAATTATTATTAAAAAAAAACTCGTCTATATTATAGGAACATTAAATATTATATAGGAAGGGGAAAAATACAAAATTATATAAATAATAAAATATTCTTGAAGCGTCCAAAGTCGGCGTTAGCAAAAATTGACGGAGGGTATAATTGAAAATTTGATGACGTCAAATACGGCCGACTTCTTAAAATGTTTTATCCGTTATTTTGTCATTTGTCCTTTGAGAAGTTAGTTATAAATCTAACGATAGTATAAAATATTACGTAATTTCACATAATATAAAAAACAAAACAAAAACTAAGAAATTACATTTGGTTTTGCCAAATTCAAAATTGAATTGTCTTTGTTACATAATCTCATGCGCCCTATTAAATCGTCATTTCGATATAAAGAAAATGTGTTCGCGTTAATGAGCAAACACTCAGTTCTGCGGTTTCCTAACTTTCCCGCGTCTATATCGGTTCAGTCCATCGCGTAGTCTAGGCGAAATTGACTTGAAGACGTACGCCGAAACACGTGTTTGGGCGACTGAACGGTAAAAAAAATGATTTCACGTTAAATGCTAAATGTTAAAATCATGACTGGTCCGATCAGATTCGTAATTCTTCTTAACTGAACTGAACGGGTCCAGTGTGCTCGCTCTTTTGTGAAATAATTATCATTATTGTAAATGTATATTATTTACACAGTATTTTGTATTTTAATTTGATTATGTGTAGGTAAAATAAATTATGAATAATATTTAATCATTTATTATGTAGCTACCTATCCAATTAGCTTAATTAAAGCATGAACGATATGCAATGTACCGAAAAAGATCACAGAAAACAGATTGCCGATAAGAGGTTATTGTTAATCAGCAACATATAATCACCTATGGGGAAAAAAAACGGTTTTTTTTTTTTTTTTTGTAAATTTTAACTGAACAATAAACGTGTTTTTTTTACGATGCGATAAGAAAATATCCGTTGTATAAAATGTCGAAATATTCAAACTGAAACCCGGTTTATAACGAAGCGATAGTGTTAAAAATAAAGGATGTGCACATTATAACTGTAGTTATAATTATTGTTTATGTCTTAAATTATATAAATTATTAACTTAAACTTAATTTTCAATTCAAAACTCATTTTGCTACAGTTTATTTCCGTAAACATCTTGTTAACGGGCAAAATGAAAAATACTGGTTGAATCGGTTATTTTCTTTCTGGAAATTCGAAAATCAAATGAAATTTAATTTATAAGCTAGTCGAATTTTATTTTTAATAGCGATTAAAGCAACGGACAAATGAATATTATACTTTCGGCCAGAAATATTTTACTCTACATTGATAGTATGTTGTATACCTCCTACACCGAGGAATATCCAAATATAACTTATTATATACTGTCCACTGAATATCTTCAGAACGGACACGTTTTCTATTAACAGAAATCAAAATTAATGAAATTTTGAACCGCGCTGTTTATTTCTCGTAATTTAGTACCTTCTCCCCTCTGAAAAAAAGTTAATCTTAACTACTAGTATATTATATATTAGAATGTTTTATTTGAACTCAAATCTTATTACTGAAGAAAATAAAATGTGATTATACTATTTGTCGCGTTATTCAAAATCACAATAAAAACTAAAGTCAACTCCACGCTTTTAGATTTTACTGCGTATGTGTTTTTTTTTTATTTAGTTTATGTCAATAACGGTTTCATTGTTATTTTATGTCCTTTTTGTTGTGATTCGGTTAAAAATAATTATAGAGACTTGAAATTTCCTCAAACATTTTATATTAACTTTTTAAAGACGTGGTATAATTTTCAATAAATTGTAGAACTTTTTAAGCTTTTTATTGGCATTTTATGTTTGCATGTTTTTACGTAATTTTTATTTAGTGTGTACTGTGTGAATATAATTGTTTGATCAAACAGAAATGCATGCAAATTTAACAGGAGGTTTATTATAAGTTGTACTTAGACGTCACAAAAAACAAAAAAAAGTAGAGTGTAATTTAGTATTTTTTTTTTTAATATAAAATTGTCTTAAGATTGTAATTTTGAAGAAAATCGTAAATATTACAGCCTTTTTTACTTTTTTAGAGTCTGTTTTCCAGACGACGAATACACGACTTATTATTTTGCGGAATATATTATAGAAGTATATAAACTATACCGTATTATTACATTTATTGTTGCATTCACGCGTACCTCTATCTCGGCAAATACTGATTTCTAAACACGTCACAATATACCTAACTTAACTCCATTTAACTTACCCTGGACGTTTCCGTTGGCGGCGATTTAGGTACAGGGGTACCTAAACTCCTCAGACCATTGCCGGAGATTGTATTTACAGATCCCACCTGAGTTGGGCACAAGCGTTATGTAAATATGTGCAACCGGCCGTCGTGCATTTTCACCGACTAGGGCCTAGGTTTTTGATTTACACGTAGGATACTAAATTTTCTTGGACCATTATCAAGTTTGGACTACTAAGGTGATTATGTTTGGTGAAACTAATAAAACTCTTAAACCTACTATATTACGTTTAAACTCGGGCCGAACTAGGATAGGGTCTGTAAATACGCTGCCGCGACTGGAGCCATAGACGACCTTGACGTCGGTCGCTCGGATGAATATATTATTAGGTATTATTATTTTATACGGTCCATTTTGACGGTGTCTGCGTGTGCGTCGCCGCCGCAATTACCCCTCACTTCGGACGAGCATATAAGAGAAGCCCGCGGGTACCGTTCGACGGCGCACAGGAGAAATAATAATAATTGTAATAATAAGTCAAGAAAAAAAAAACTTTTTATTTTATACATATAATATAGAGGGTGAGCCGTGTAATTTATATCGTCATATAGAATAAACCTTAAGATTGTAGGGGAGTTATACGTGCGAGTATATGGTTCAACGGTGGTGCAAGAGAACGGACGTAGGTATTACGTATAATTATCGTGAAATATGTTTAGCTTGAAGAATTTTGGTGTGGCTGCAGTGAGTCGGTGAAAAGAAGTGTTGTGTGATAAAAAGATGCTGTACATCAAGGATAAAAGAGAAATTTATTTTTATAAAACCGTTGTTTTTGTTGGATTTATGTATACTACACAAAATTTGTTGGATTTTCTGGTAGTTTTCTCTAGGGGAGAAAGAGAGGGGGGGTACCTATAGAATATTGTGTATACCAATTTAGTTTGTAAATAGAACATTCGGTAAAAAATCATTGCCCAGTATTTTTATTTTTTACTTACAGGCATGTATCTGAAACCATGTCTGTTGGGGGAATCATTTTTTACGAATAGTTCAATATTTCTCAATAATTCACTATTATTACTTATCTTTTTAAATCGTTTTTTTTTTGTGAAAAAATCCAGAAATATTGTTCCAATCATCAACTTATGGGCGATTTCTATTATCAAATTTTATCTAGTTGGTGTGTCGAGGAAGTCATTGTATAGAATTAATTTTACTTTTTTTTAACAACGGAGAAAACAGATATTAATTATAGAGAACTGACCATTTTACCGAATACCTAAACTGATATTAGCATTTTTTAAGAGGCGATCAATTTTTCAATATATTTTGACGTTATTTAAGTTATGCATAGTTATTTGAAATCATTGAGTTTCTTTCTAGTTTAAATTGTATAAAAGATTCATTATGTGAAAAAAAAAAAAAAATGAGCGTACGTGTGTGCCGTGATTTACACACCACCTGCTGCAGATTTCCACTGGACTCCGCTCAGAACCGTTTTTCGTTTGCAACGATAGTTCGAATCCCGTGATACGGGCTCTAGAGGGAGACCGTTCGCATCGGTCCCCCTCCTAAAATACGTACCTATTCCTCCTTCTACCTGCATCTCGGAGTGGATTGATCATGACGATAAAACCGCAATATTTCAACGGTTCCGTTTTCGAATATATGCGTTCTTCCGTCGTAACATTATTAGCTTGGGTGGGTGTCACGCGAAACACACCCCCGTATCTCGCATGATGTCTTTTATGCACGTATACAATAATATGCGCATAAACATACACACGCACGTCACACACAGCATCATATACGCACGCACGAGGTCCGTTCGGGTCGCACATGGCCTTCTCGGTTTATTATTATTACATATTATATTTATTTTTTTTGTTCGCCGCCGCTGTACGTCCAACAAAACATATGGTCGCATGTAATAATATAACGCGCGTATCGGAGACGTAGGCGCGACGACGACGACGACGACGACGACGACTTCTTCTTCTATAATATACTTCGTCGGTCTACTCCTCCTCTTCCCCCGACCGTGGCGCACATCTGGTCGACAGGTCGAAAATCGCCTTTTTCCCTCGCGTAGGAGGATTACAACGACGCGTGCGTCTGGAGTCGGTCGAAAAACGTTCCCGATTTATACCAGTTTTCGCGCCGCCACTGTCCCGAATCGTTTTTTTTGGCGGCAATCGTCTATTAAAGTACGTGGGCCACAATAGTAATTAAGGCGATTGTGGAGGAGAGGTAATTCTGAATTGTTTAGTATCAAAAATGGAACACATGTGAAGCTATCAGAACTACTACTTAGAATCGAATGCAAAACTAAAAACAAATTATAACTTTTCAAATCTTCTAAGATGCAATCAAAAATGTTTTGCAATACCTTCTATACGTCTAATGCAGGTGAAGTCTGAGAGTTTGATTTTTTTAATTTCCGATATTATTTGATTTGCATTGCTATAAATTAACACCAAACAGTAAGCGCTGATAAAACATTATTTTATATGATTTCCGTGTCAGTAAATGGTTTTATATATGCTTACTAAATATGTAAAACATTTCATATGATATTGTTGTTTTTTTTTTTATACCGTATAAAAAAGTTTTCAGGGCCGTTTGTGACCCACATGCCACAGTAGTTGAGTATGGTTTATGTATAGACAAACATATTTTATATTTACCCTTCTATGTATTAAATTAGGTTAGGTCGGGTTAGATTATCAGGTGATTCGAAATGTAAGCTACGGTTAATATAAAAAAAATATTTTGGAGTTTTTGGAATCGTTTCGTATCTATATAATTCAGCAGTTGAAAACGGACAATTTCAAAGCGCGTGCACCACACGAACAGTTATAATAATTTAGTTATCAGTGATTACCTATTATTATTGTAATCGCTCGTTTCGTTTTCGATCAGGAAACCAGTGGCGTGGCGGACAGTAGACCGGATTTTTTAAAACTCTTTTTTTTTTATTCTAGACACACTCATGTTCGTAATAATAATTATAAAGCACGTTTTTTTTTTATTGGTATCCTTATATATTTGCGTTCGGTTCCCAATCAACGCATCAGACACTTTCTATCCATCACATCATATTAATTAAATATTCCGCAGAGTGTAAAACGGTTTATTCGCGTGTTAATATCAAAACTGGGCAAGCTACTCAACATTTTTAACTTCTATGAATGTTCAATTCGTTTCTTTAAAATCTAAGAAAATTAGAGCAGAGGTTGGTCTTTTAAATTTATACAAATATCTAACTTAATCATGTTAGATGTGATTTGATGAAAATAATAAGTTGAGTTAGAAATCAAGTTAGGACTTTTTTTTAATTTTAATGTCATTAACCTAAAAAACATGTCTAATAATTATTATTGCATCAAATATTGCAGCAAACGTAAGTAATACAGATTTATTCTGAAAACTTTCTTTGTTTTTAGCAATATTATTTATTATAAGTAAAAATAAAAACTGAAAAAAAAAATCAACTATATAATTACGTAATTGTTCTTATCAACGTCTTAAATTATAATATTTCAGGTAGGTAAATAAAAAACGACGCGTCATGTCAGAATCTGACTGAGAAAATGAGAATTTAAATTAATTACTGATTAAACTGAAAATTAATAGGTAACAAAGAAACTTTTCAACTTAATTCTAACTGTCTAACTCAATCAGTGTTCAGCTTTGGTTAATATTAATATACGTGATAAAGTTTTAAAATATCCAAATAATATAAATTGTTAGCCATTTAAGTATACCTATTATATACTGATAGTGAATATTGGGCTCGGTAATATTTAGTTTACAAAGTCTACTAATTAAAATTCCTCGATCCATTATCTAAGGTTATAAAACTCTCACTTTATCAAAAACGCATAATATATATGTGTCGTCGTATATCTCATCGTCCACAATTATTTATTGTTGTTATTATTTACTCATAGTGTTGCGGACTTCATTCGATTATTTTATATTATTTCTTATCAACCGATACAAAACAAAATATATACGCCTAGTGAAAATATTATACAAAAAATTGTATCAGCCTATTAATCATTAACATAATGAACGCAATATTATAAAATAAAATGAAAAAAAAAAACAATGGAAAATTATTGTACCTACTTCCTATTCAACAAACTATATAGCAGGGTATACTTTAGTAAAACTATGAATCGAAATCATTTTTAACATTATTATTATAAAAATTAAAAATTGAACCCGAACAATACAATCTATTGAAAATGTTAATTTTATACGAATAATAATAATGATCAATAAATAAGCCTTACAAGGCAAATACAATGGAATTTTCGTCAAAAAAAACCTAAACGTGTGATAAAAATTGAGGTTCGATTTGTCCAGAGTATAAATATAGCTACTTTACGTTCATAAATAACGTTAAACCGGCGAACCTTTGCCTTAAAAAGGTATCGGGTTGTAGATTAGTATTAAAGTCTTTATTATCATTAAAATATGACGGGGGACCGTTCCCTGTCAACCTTAAATATATTATACTTGTTATTTTTCTGAACAAAAGTTTTAAAACCATTTAATTGATTTAATAATGGAAAGATAAAAATACATCATATAGAGGTAGTAATAAAACGTAAAATATAATTCGGTTTTCATGACCGAATTAAAATCAATATTCTATTTTTCTTTTACGTATATTTCATTTAGATATAATTAAACGATTAAAATTATAGTAATTTAGTTACAAGTCGAACGTTGTCTGTACGTAATACTATTTAAAATACATAATATTTATTGATTATAATTATTATTATTGTATTTAATTAAAAAAAAAAAAAAAAATTAAAAATTAAACCGTTTAAATTTCACCGCGTTATCATCGCTGAATCGTTTTAACGGACACGTTTGGGAACTATGTACGTATGCGTACATACTTGCACAGAGAAATTGTATTCGGTCGTAGAGAAATATAAATAATTTTACCGGTGACTGGCACTTCAGAATAGTTTATACTATCGATAGTTTTGACGGACTATCGAATGTAGCATTCGGATATTTTTGTCCACGCCCAAACAGTTTCATTCGGGTAAACTATTAGAGTCATTTTTCCCGTAAAAACTGTTCGAATACGTTTTTAATGTATCGAATAGTTCCGTTGCGCCCATCACTAATTTTTAACTATCAAACTCGCTAAATGTTTTCATTAAAATATAATATACAATCGTTATTGTTTGGGGCCTATACCTTTAAACTCGAGGCCGATAATACATTATTATATTGAGATGTCGATACAGGTACTTATATTATATTTGTTTGGAATTAGATAAGGGACCATCACTGCGCTATAATAATATACGTGGTGATAAGTATCTGTTTTCTTAACAGTCGTGATGAACCCGAACAAAGAAATATAGTTAAACGTGCGATAAACTGATTTGGTTCGACGAATATTAGTACACGTCATGTTATGATGTAGAGGCGTAAAAAAAAAAATAATAATAATAATAATTCGAAGAAGAATTTGATAATGAAACCAACTGAGAATAATAATTTCAGGAAAGGCGATATTTAGTATAATGTATTGTAATTTTGTAATATCGCTCGGCCGTAATTATTATTAGACGATCTTGGACGGACAGGTCGACGGAGGTAAACCTGTTTCGCTAATTTGCACGCGATCGGGTTTTCTTTCCCAATATTGTGATACCGATAAATTGGGACAAACTTTTTTTTTTTTTTAATATACACACACTCACTTGTAACGATGACGGTGTACTGCAGCGCTGTGTAATACAACTTACTGTTCCCCGGTGACTGTATGTTCGTTTCCAGTAAAAAAAAAGTTAAATTCGTTATGTTCATATTATGACAACACCTATATTTACTTGTGATTCTCCATTCTCGGAATGTCATTAATATACATAGACAGCTTCAGACGTATTCGGTAAAAAAAACGATCCGTTATAATGCTCGTGTGCGCGCTCTGTCGTCTCGGCGCATCACAAATCGAGAATATATAATTTCAATGTGAGTGGGTGAGAGGGGAAACATTGATGATTATTTGTATACACTTATTTTTTACTCGTTACACTAATTCCTGACTGTATAATACCTGTAACGGCAGCTAATTTCCATTAATTTATACTGCACGCATAGGGTACTGTATAGTTTGCCTATAGTTAATGTATGTATATTAATCACTATTAGTATACTATAAGCGATTAGGCCAGTCAATAAAGGTAATCTCGACTAACATTTATTTTTTTTTTTGTGTCTTTAAAGTTCGAAAAATTAAATATTTTTTTGTTATTTCGGAAAATATCAATGAAATTCATAAAAAAAAAAACACCCAATAAATTCCTGACTACGCTACGAATCTAGAAATATTTCTTGTACGATTTTCTTCGAAAAATTTCACGTACATTTTTTTGTTTAAAGTAGTAGTTTAAACGTATAATCGATATTAAATATCACGCACGCCTAAGGAAATGTAACTGTAAATCAACAATTCACATATTATTATACATATACGTATATACTATCGTGTTTTAAGTGGTATAGTACACATTATCTACTCCATAACATAAATCAAAAACACACAAGTAAATTAATGACCATATAATATAATCGTAACTTAATTCGGTTGTAGGTTATAACCTTTTCGTTCCAGTTGTAAAATTAAATTATACGTATAATCAGTAAGCATTTTGTAAAGTGGTACTTACCATTTGTTTTCATCATATTATTATTAGGCAGGTACTTACGCAGTTACGTATATTTTATTTGAATGTCATGTTATTATAAATTAATAATAATATTATCGTTTTTTTTTTTTCTTAATTATATTATGTTATCAGAAAATTGATTATAACATTAATGTTGCATCTAATACCTGCTTATTACAATCTCTACACACATACGATATTTAAAACAAATATACCTGCCTATTAGTTATTCATTACTATTCTGATTATTGCTCGTCCTAGCGCGTTATCTATATAATCAAATTTTATTTTGCTTACTGCATTTTCGCACTTTATATTTATTTTTATGACCATTATCGGGCATAATATATAAGATGTTTCGTTTAAAAAACAACAATCATATTATTGCACGCGTTAAAAATGTTATCAAACAATTAATGTAAGTACGCACCTATGTTATTAAGTTACTAGGTACCAGGCACTTGAATTATTTTTAAGTGAAAATTTTACTTACGTGTGAAATAATTAACCTTTAGAACACAATATATTTGCATGTTAAAAAAATAAGAAGTACAAAATAAATAATTATATAACTATATATTTTGTTTTCATAAATATTTTAGTACATGACATCAAATTTTAATATGTTGGTAAATACGCGTATAACGAGATCGAAACTATAATAGTTTTCTGGTCTATTATAAGTACGAAATCTCACGAATCAAAACTGTGATCTGATAATATAATAAGATTTAGTTCGCAAGATATTGAAAGTACCCACCATTCACTGAGTTTTATATGATTTCTAAACGAGTTCCCATGCAGCTCCTATAGATTATTTTTTTTTTCCATTTAACAAATTAAACTGTAAATTATAATTAATTCACGTGTTAAATTTTAGAAAAGTTTATTATTATTATTATCATTTTTTTTTTTTACAATTAAACTCTTTTTACACCGTACAGGACATATTAGTATTTATTAAAAAAGGCTAATACTCCTGATGGGTGTGTCAAGTTGAAAGGTTAGGTAGCATATATATATAGCGTATATATATAGAGCACCCAATTTAATTTACATCTATAAGCAACGATAAACCATTGTAAATGAAAAACGTTTCTGAGCAGAATACTAGTTATATATATATATATTCTTGTGGCCAAGGTAACCCAACGACTATACAAGAAAAACCAAAAAAATGACTCCTCTTATATACTATTATATCGAAAATGTAACAAGAAGTTCCTATAAAGGTTTTGATTGGATCAAACCTTCTGATAGAAAAATATTTTTACAGACGCAGACACACGTGAAAAAACACATCATATAGTAAAACCAATACAATTCCTCGATTCTTTCGCTTCTTGAAATTAAAAGTACATTAGAAACAAATATTATGTACTTTCATTTTGTTTTTTTACAAGCAGTTTGATAATGTTCATAAGCTTAAATTAATAAAAAAAAAAAAAAAAAAAAAAAAAAAATGAAAATTTTGTTCTTGTTTTCTAACAACAGGGAAAAACTCTTCTTCGTATTATTATAATACAATATACTTAATGTCTTCATACCCAAGTATTCCGTATAATAGCAGCTGTACGTAAATATTATACAATACATACTTAGATAACGATAAAACGGTCGAATTCGAATGCCGAATCATTAATAAGAATTATATTAATATATAAACTTGAAAAGCTGGGTGGTATTTGTAATTTGTGGGTGGAATGTAATTTAGTCCCTATATTTTATATATTATATAGGTAGGTATACCGTATAATGTTATTAAACGCAGTTATTTATTATGAACACCTAGTACCTATATTATAATCCGTTGAGCGCATTATATTTCAAAAAATAAAAAAAAATGAAATGATAATAATAATACCTACACGACATTTCGTTGAGAACATTATTTCAAAAAAAAAAAAAATATGCGGCGCGTACTCATAATATCCATAATAATAATGTATTGTTTCATTTTCCGTGAAAATCCACAGACTCGTAATTAATCGTTATTAATTTTTATAGTACCGAACGGAAAATAATAGGTGTAATATTATTACGAAAACGTTTATCATTTTATGTATATCTGCCTCGCATGACGGGCGTAGGAGTTACTATGGTTACTATCGCATGTTATGGTCGATCTGTTATAATATTACATATTGTTAATAATTATTGCTGTAACCGTTTTGATATATTAATAAAATATTATTAGCGTGTTATTTGGTACAGTATTCGCACGGATAATATTCGTGTAAAAAAAACCTATACATTTTTCCATCCGTTATTTCTCATTTCCCTAAAATGTGTTGCATAATACGTTCTGAAACTCGGTGACGTATTCGTAATCTACGTAACCTACCCGCTCCTATACGATGTTTGTGAATTTGTATGGATAAATCATAGATATAAAAAATAACGGATATAGGCTATAATATTAGTTATCGGACGTTCCTGGATTGTCTATCACACTCACCTGCTGTAAAGTTCTCACTATACACATGGAAACTAGAAATAATTCACGGAAGAATTCCTCTTCCATCTATCTATATTGCTATCTTTCTTCCTTATTCGGGAACGTTGCTCGCTATGTAACCGGTATAATACACACGGCCTATCAATTATGTATTATCTATGGGAAAAATATTTTTTTTTTATACCTATCAAGCCTTTTTTTAAGACTCTGCTGTTTTTTACCGGGTATAATGTTTTAATTATAGGTATAATTCCTATGAATTCGATCATTTTGAAACTTTTATTTGGTTTTTTTTTTTCGAAATTTCGTTGATTTTTTGTAGATTATTTTTTTTTTTCTATCAAATTGTAAACGGTATTTTTTTACATTTGAAATATTTCAAATTACCAATTTTTTATGATATTTTCAATATCAAGTCGCAGAAAATTGTCTACTAAATTTCATTACTTTTTTTTTCTGAGATTTAACATGCATATTTTATAAGTGCATTTTTTGTAATGTTAAATACATTTTGACCGGTGGTTTTTTTGAGGGGACGGTTTAAGTATTTCGTGAGCATCATTTTTAGGGATTTCAATCGTTTTCGTTTAGGTTTTTTAGTGCGTTAAATCCACTGTCATATTTACAAGTGTATGCGTACGTTTTAAATGGACTGAAGCATACAAGACGTATCTTAATGGTTTCTCGACAAACGACATTCGATTGACACTCGACCACCGCAGCCGATGAATTTAAAAACTGACTCGAGTGGGTTCCAAACAAAATCGTGAACCGCAATAATAATATTAATTGTAGACATATATACTAATATTTTCACCAGAAAAAAAAATCGTTTTCAAATCGTGCGTTAGACAAAAAAATATATATATATACATATATATTTCACGTTTAATTAGTCTTCCTTTTTGTTTTCGCGCATATTTTGTTTCTCTTTATTACTGTCGATTATGCTCGCGGACTGTTGTACGTGTTTACGGACCGGTTGGGTGCTGTACACGCGCGTTTCGATAAATTAAATCACCTTATCCCCTTATATTACTATTACGAATGCGTCCATATGGTCGTTCGCCAACATGGAAAAAAAAACACTAACCGAATAACAATAATACTACGAGCGAAGGCTATGTGTACGCGAGTTAAGATGCCCAGAGGCAAAATAACGTTTTGTATGGAAAAAAAAACCAAAAAGATAAAACGGAACAGGTTAATAAAAAAAAAAACCGAAACGAAATCTGTTAAAAACGTAGGAAAAAAAATTATATACATAAATAGATACTTATATTTACATATTATATAAACATACTGGCACGTTAACGTTCGAGAAAGAAAGACAGAAAGAGAGAGAGACCTCTATAACATCGCGGACGACCCATTATTTTGACGTGGGAATATTAATAAATTTCGATATTTTTCGCTTTTTCGCAGATGTGATGTCGACGGCCGACGCGTTTTCCGACGACGGAGTGACATCGTATTCGCAGCTGTTGTTCGACATTGCCAGGAAACAAGTGGTAGTCGGAGCAAGGTACGTACTCGATATAATAATAATATTATAGTAGGTTGTAGGTATATCGTATAGTATAATAATAGCGTAACATTGACTCCTCGTACATTATACGGATCTCGGAGAAATATTGATCGAAGTCAAAAAATAAAATATACGTTGATAAGTAATTTGTAGGTTCGTGAAATTTAAATGAAAAATGTAAACGGACAATTTTAAAATTTACTTTTGAATAAATGCCAAAGTACAAGTGATTATTGTGCAATATAATAACGATAATAACGACTTCATAGTGCTAAAAGAGTATGATTTAGCTAAAGGAATGGTTTTTTTTCCACAAGAAACAACATGAATGGTTTTCGTTGTAATAATATAATAAGTGATGGCAGTCAATGTCCACAATAAATTGTTACTTCATTAACTATTTTATTTTGTTTTCTTAATTTTTTTTTTAGGTTTTATGGTATGTATTATTGTTTGTCTATTCTATGGTTTTACTATGTTTATTTTTTTTCCGGGTTACCTCCTGATATATTTTGCTCGGACCTTTTAGTAAAATTCCATATTATACAGAGTGATTTTCGTATTACAGACCAACGGTTATCTATAGAAATGTTTAGTAAATTCGATTTTGGTTTTTTTCCAGTCAATATATTGATATTAAATCGTTGAATGATCTGAACTATGTCATATACAATATTATCAAACATTTTTCCTTTATTCCGTAGGTACGTTTCATGAACCCGCTGTCGTCATATTTTCGAGAGATCCTTTTATACAGTTATCTTATTTTTTTTAAAATTTTAAAAAATACTCATATTACACATACACTGTCATCAATAACTGGATAATAAAAATTGGAAATTATTATTACAGGGTGGTCAGATTATTAATTACCGAGAATTAACATAATATCATAATTTCACAAAGCTTGTAAAATATTTGTTGTTGAAAATATGAAATTTCGCCTCATGAAAATTAAAAGTATAGTATGACGCATAACAAAAAAAAAAAACCAATGCTCATCAAAACCTAGACCAGGCTAGACCGAACCGCTGAACATGAAAACATGACATGTGTACTGAGATTAATCCTTATAGGGATGTAAAAGAGTAGTGTGGAGGTTGAACCTCCCCCTATTATTTCTCAATATTAACACTTTTAACAATATTCATTTTTTTTAAATTCCTAATTTATTTCAATTACAAATAGGTAATTGATAGTTTGATGATGTTTGGAAATTGAACTTCTAAAGAGCGATTCACACATGAATAAAATACGAAAAATTGTAATTCGTATTTTGTTTATTTCTGGTTTATATTGGTAACACGAAAACATGAGCAAATTTAACTTTAAAAAATATTTAGAAAGGCTCGGCAATATTTCGCACCATGGGCAGGTCACTGTTGTAGGTGGATAGGTCGGAAGGTAAATAAGATAAAGGGTAATTTAGTTAATAGTGTACCGAAAACAAAACGAATGACGATTCCAAAAACCGAAAGTCTTTGAAAAAAGAAAACCTTGTTTATTAAAATTAACAGTTAAATTTTCCGATATAACGATGTGTCACATATACCTATAATAACGGGGGGAGGGGGGAACCCTAAATAAAAAGCGTATTACCACCGCGGTGTACATCTAATAATGTATTTTTGCTCGATTGACGTGTGAATTTGACAGTATAATGTAACGTCGTTATATCGAATAACACCACGGCGACGCTGCAGTGTCGTATAACCGCCGATCTCATCATCTTGTCGTGTGTGTATAGTATTATGTACACTTTTGACAAATATAAAAAGATAAGCGGAAACGATATTTTTTTGTTTCTGCCAATATCAATAGTATTATATACACCGGTCGGTAGTGTACCTACATATTTTCAATATTGTACAATACAATCGACGCGTGTTAGCAATAATAAAATAGTATAACGGTGGCTATAGTCGTGTACAAAAATCAACAAATAGGTTAGCTCTACTGTTCAGGTAGTAGTATAATATTTGTTTTCATCACTTCGAAATTATTACCGACCGTTTTGAATCCGACGTTCGCCCGCGGTCTCGTCGGACGCGCCGGTCGAAAACGATTCCATACAAATATTATTATTATTATAATATTATGTTTGCTATGCTTTTAAAATATTATTACCCACCTATGTAATATTGTACTTGTACAAACATCGGGCATTTATAAAAAAAAAAAAAAACACTCCCAAATGTCCGCGTTAAATAAATTCAAGTTACACGCTATATTCGTATATAGATATTTAGCTATAGTATGCATTGTAAGTACGTATACTATAACACATATAGTAATAGTTTAAGTACATTTGGTTTTTTTTATTCTTTCTTTTTATCGGTATATTATTAATTTGAAACTAAAACACGTTTTTATGGATGTTTCTTTGACGTGGCGGCGGCAGTCGTTCCTATCGTCGAACATCTAAATTCCTATACATAGGTACATATATAATACAACGGTCGTGTAGAATTGTATAGGTATTTCGATAATCATCACTTGTTTTTTCGAACATAGTGTCAGGAAGGTATACTTACGAATTTACCTGCATTATATTGTCCAATGAGAATAATAATACTGTATCGCTGGTCACAAACATTCGATCGTTTTATAATACCTTCCGAAGTTAAACGGAAAGTAGGTAAGTATTAAGAATGACGACGAGTGACTACTATATTATTTTATGTTTAAAACCGACAAAATGTATTTTGGGTCCGAAAATTTAAAACGCATATGTTATGATTTTTTTGAGTGCCTATACCTATACCTAACCTACTTATACCTGTTATCCTCTCAAATATATTTTTCAGACAATGTTTGAATTTGTTTTTTTTTTTTAATGCGGGAATCCTAATTTTTTATACGATGTTAAGCATTGGTATTTTACGTTCACCCACTTTTAAAACATGACATTTCAATTCTGAACAAATCTTCGTGTTGACACTGGACCCTAATCATCCGGCGAACGGGCATACGCGGTGAATCGTCGAGTTTTTTTTCATAAACTATCGTAGGTACTTATACATTTATAAAATCGAATGCCTTTGTTTTTCATGTATTTACTATATATAATATGATAATATTAAAACACAGTCCTTCGGGTAAAATAAACACGTCTAGTGTGTTCTCGTGTACTCGTGCATCACTATATTATTACACTCGTCGTGTTCAGTCAGTCGAAAATCCGAGACGTCGCGCGTCGTCGTAAATTTAAATATAAATAAATATATATTCTCTACATGTTACATATATCTAATTTTGACTCGCTTCGATAGAACGAAATTATCACGATTTATTTTTTATTGTGTGTATAAAAGGGCGCACGTCCATTAAATATTCAACACTACAATGAACGATTTATTGTGTCTAAATAATGTAAATATAAAAAAAAAATATACCCGGAATTGTCGATTATGCATTAAAAATTGACGAAATATGTGCACTTTTAAAAATATGAAAAAAAAAATTTACACTGCTGATAGGTGTGCAACTGTTTTAGAATGGAAATCAAAATGGAGAATACTTGTGTTGAGTAATATAATTTATATCTAAATGCAACGATAAACCATTGCTAGAGAAAAAACCGATTTTTAGCAAAAATGTATTGTTTGTATTTTTTCCCGCGTCACCAAGGTAATTCAGAAATCAATACAAATTGTACGAAAACGTGTAAAATTACTAATAAAATTTAAAAAATTATCTTTACATTGCACCAATTAGATAACAAACGCTACGTAAGAAAGTTTCGATAAAGTTTTTAATCGGAGCAAGATTTCTGGTTTCACACACACAATACGCACACATACACTCACATACACATACACACATCATAGTGCCATCATACTATCATCGTAAATCCAGTTTATTCTTCGCTTAATCAAAACCTAAAACATTCGATAGTGTAAATCTTAATTTTAATATACTATAAAGTCTATTTGTTTTAAATAATACAAAGGTTTATACCTAACCTTTAACCTCTATGACTTTTACTAATGTTAGTCTCAGCGGTGTTCGTTTTTGAGATTTTTAACAAGTATGAGTAATACTAAAATATATTCATAAAGAATATATATTTTATAGTATTCCGTCAAAAAAATGTACATTCACGAGTATAGGAGGGTATCAATATTTGGATAGAAAATAAAAAATAAAACTGATTAAAGTAAATATTATAAATATTATACCTCTAAAATATATTTTAATATTATTATTCTAATATGTTGATATATTTTTGGAAACTTTCACAATTTTTCGAAGCCCACATGAAGTGCATAATATTATAATATTATCAATAATATCATTCAAAATAAATAATAAGATACGGAGGTGTGTATACGCGAATTTACATGTCACTTTCGTTTTGATGTATAGAATTTCACGCGTATATCTAATATAACAATAATAATATGATAATTTTAGTGATGCTTATTTTGATCGGTTTTCACGACGGCTGTTGAACTATTTGGAAAATTAACGTTCAGTTACTGTTGTGTATGTATTGACGGCATATGACATATTTATCTATACATAAGTCAGTAGGGACAAAAAAAGTAAGACGGTCGAATAATTTAAATTTTTTAATAGAAACTAAAGAGTATAATACCATGAGGGAGACCCAGATAGTGCTGGTTGGACGAAATTAAAGAAGAGTCACAGATAATGGGAAATTATGTTTGGAAGGAAGTTATGTTAACAACTAAAGCTCTAGAAGAGTTGTAAAATTAGAGAAGATAAAGAGAGTTGGTACATTAAAATATATTATTGTTCCACAAATGATAGGTTTACAATAGAATGAAATTCATAAAACGTTTGAAAAAATAAAAAAATTATCAAAATTCGATATACAATTTAATATGTAATAAATAATATGATTACGACATACAATTCTTAGACTAAATATTTGAAACGGTTTTATTTTTTGTTATGTTTTAAAATGTTTAATGTTACATTTTCAAATTTGAAATTTATAATATATTTTTTGTCCCAGGGAGAAGGGAAAAAAGTCAGTTTTTTTTATAATTTTGTCTTTTTTTGCTTTACTTTTTGATGGTCAAAATGCCATAACTGTTTATATATTCTAAAACTTGTTTTATAATGAAAATTAAAATATCTTAAGTCATTAAATCATTATATAATGGACTTTTTGTTTTGGCAAAAGAGGCATAAGCCATTTAGAACGCCTACATTTAGGGTAGGCCATTTAGTAATTTATGAATTTGTCACTTTGTCAAAACTGAATTTGTTGTTTGTATTGAAAACTTCACAAAATCTACTTAAGCCCACCCGCCCCTGGACCGAAGATATAATCTCTGAAAAATCGTTTGCACAAACAGTTGTCAAGTTCATCTTACACTGTGTAATAATGTGTACGTTTCAATATAGGTATTATCAAAAAATATTATGTAAATTAATATTCACGACGCGTATCGCACTCGTCGTACTAATGTGCCGACTATTAATATTCAATACATAATAGTATATTATATAGCTGGTACCTACATTGACGAAATAATATTATTTCGTTTGGTGCGCGTGCATTATCTGCTTAACACTCTATTAAAAAAACGTTCGTCGGGTATACGCGTTGTCAATAATAATTATTGTCATATTGCACGCACAATCTATTCGATTTTACACGTTTAATTATTATTGTCAATATACTCAATAGTAATAACTAAACAGTACCTATAAAAAAATAATAAATAAAATACCTATTACGCGCGCTGCGAACGATCGCGATTACGTAAAGCCTTTTGAATATTGTTATTCGGATAGACGCGCTGGCACTGCGATGCAAACGATAACCTTATTACTCGTAATATTACTTATTATATGTGTATTATGTATTATTCTATTTGTCCGACAATATTAACCATAACGTGTATAACCAATATTATTTGATAACGACTGATTCCAAGTACCTAGTCTAAAATAATCATTACTCCCATCCTTTTTTTTTTTTTAGCCGGTTTACGAGAACTCAAATAATAATTCATACCGTATATATTATACTTGTATTACAGTGGGAGAGCATAACATTTTTATTTTTCTATGACGTGCACTTTTTTTGTAGAATTTTCCCCGAGATTATTTTACTGTATTGTATATATCATTTTCCCGATACTTTTAGACATTTATAGCAGCGGTTCCATTTCAACTAAACGAACTTCATACTCGGGAATCAAAATCATGGATCGAATTTCAATATGAATTTAACAGTGCGTTTGTTTAGATTTGTACACCCCTACAGACCTACAGAAGTAAACTATAGGAATCAAATTTTGTATATGCATGTTTTTTTTTTTTTTTGGGGGGGGGGGTTCGACTTTTAACTGTCATCCCTGTCATTTTCATGTTCAAATTTTATCTTTCTTTTTGGAAGCAGTATAATAATTATACTACAATTATTGAAGTATAACATAGTGTTGTATTCTATTATTTTAGTAGTCAATTATTAATTATTTTTCAAAGTCCTAAAGTACAAATAAAATTCGATTCTAGTGACGGAGCTCTGTTGCTCACAAATAGTTTTATTTATTATTATTTTGTTCCTACAAAAGTTTTCCACCAGGAATTTTACCCCGATTTTTGTAAAGTGTAGCAAGTTTTCGGAAAGCAAATTTTATTTAATTGGTGCGTCTACTTGATGAGGTCATTTTTTTTTCTAACGGGTTTCTCAATAGTTTAGAAAAACTGGGAAAAAATTTAGGAAAAATAGGTAGGTAAGTCAACGGTTTAATAATTTTTGATTTTGTTTTTTTAATTCGAATTTGGTTTAAAATAGTCGTAGAGATTGTATTTATGAATATATTCATAGAATACTTATATTAATCTTACATAAACGTGGTTAGATTTTTGAAACATTCTGGCGATTTGTTGAGATTTGTATAGATATTTGCTAAAAAATGTGCAAAAATGTAAAACATTTTAGCGTCCGTTATAAAGTAGTTTTTTTTTATAGGTATTTGAAGTTCAAATTGTGACAAAAATCGAAAAATACATTTTTTCATAGGTCTCCCTGACCGCATTGTAATTATTATCTTATTATTCCAAATAATACTTATATTGTATATATATAAAAAAATATCGGTGTAATAGTAAAAACAATTCAAATAAATGGCTGTTCCGATTGACCTACAATATTATTAATTTAAACGTCCGTGCAGTATACTATAAAGATAAGAATAACCGTTTCTCCGCAGCCGGTATCATAAAAAAAAATCACACATAACGCAAAAAGTTTTTTTTATACTCTATGATCCAAGGTAGGTGAGTAGATAAGTAATAAGTATTAGGTATAAGTGTTTGATGCCAATCAGATTTATATTACTTAAAGAACATTTTTATTTGAAAAAAAATTACATATCTACCTACATACCTATATATAACACTATATATTATAATATTATACCATTTAGTCACTTCAAAATTTATTTCCATATTATTTTATTAGCCATATAAAATCTTAAAAAAAAATTAAATAGTAAATCCGTTTCTAACATTGCGGGCACTTGGTCTCTTCGATCATTTCAGCACAGCTGGTAAGTACCTATAGGTACTTATACGTACGTGTTTGATCATCATGTTAGATTTTTATGCTCAAATTCGTAACCGTATTGAACCGTTTGTTTATCACTTTTTTTTTTAAACACGTTCGACACGTCCGTTGATTCGGGCATATCTTAAAAATATGATAAAATACTTAAAATTATGGCGCGTTACTTCATAATTCAAAACTCCGAATTTGAATATCTTTACCGAGAATGGTTGTTAGTAACAGGACCCTACTGTTTCGATTCGAATAATTTGAATAATGGGCAACATGACAAAATTGCGTTATTTGAAATGTAAATTGTGGCGTTTGGGTTGGAAACTGCGTTTAAATAATATTTTCGGAGAAAACGGGAGATCATTTTCGAGATTTTTCATAGCTATGCGTGCAGCCCTCGAAAATATTCCCCTCTTGAAATTGTGTTACGCATGTTTAAAATTATCATTTATGTGAATTAATGTGTATTAATGGCGTGTACTTGATGCCTAGTTATGTATAATTGTTTTTAGTTTAAAAAAATCGAAATAGAAATCGATTCCGATTCAAGAAGGTCACTATATAAAATAGGGGGTGAGTAAATGATAATTTTTGAAACTTTTGAATTTGAAAATGCAAAATAATTTTGGAAATTCGAGTAACCTTTTTCAATAAACATTCACGGGAGGCAATTTGAGGGTCACACAATTCGTGAGCATCCGTAAGAACTGCCAAGATTTCATCAATCCGGATGTGTCCCGTGGTTTTTTAGACCAAACTAATATCTCAAGAGGATTTTAAGCAGTTCTGTTAATGAACTTAGGCGTGTTAATATTAACAATTTTGGAATGAATGTTAATAGACGAGTTCATGACGGATTTTTGTACGGTTTTAATACCACGCAGCGGAGTTTTTAAATGTATCCATTAACTATCGTAACTAAAGTGACAGTTCTGGAATACGAAATGCCAAAACTGTTGAAAAAACCGCTTGTGTATCGCCATCTAATATTATTTTTAATCTGAAAATTAGTTTCACTGCGTTAATTTGTTGTCCAGGTACATATATTGTATTTGTTGATGGGTTTGTTTCGTGTTCATTATTATAATAATAATAATTGATATTCAACAGGACAAAATAATATATATTCACTTACACATTTATACCTATAACGCGATATTTAATTATCTATTATTATGTGATGCCCTTCTACGCAGGTATATTGTTATTATATTATTGTTTATTATAGCCATGCGTTTTTAGAACGCTGTTTCTCGACTCGTGCAACAGTTTCCGGTTTCCCGTTTCGGACAATTTTCGGTTTCCGCGTGGACGCGCTCAGAAGCAATATCCTGTCATCACAGGAACGACATTAATTTTTATACTTTTTAAACGCGCGTTCGGATATTTTTGGATATTCTTGTGCATTAATATGCTTGTCAACACCGCTGCAGCGGCGGTGTCCCTTGTTGTATACACGGTGTCACCGTCGGGGATTTTTAATTAACCGCGAGGTATATATGCGTGACGTTAAGAGTGCCGTATAATAATAATATACATATAGTGATAATTCATAAGATGCAGGTTGATCGTTAATATAGCTGAAAATAATTTTACGAGAGATATTATTTTATGTGTCTGTTTGAAAAGTCACCGTACCGTGACATTATACGACTTAACATAATAAACGTCAACACTTAATTGAAAAATAGATAGGATATAGGATATTTGATACTCGGCCGTATTTCATTTCGTAATAAAAAAATAAAAAATAAATCCCGTAACCTGTATTTTAAATTCTGTATTAGAAATGTATTTTGGTTTTCCTATGTAGAACGATGTGTTTATTTCTTCCACTCCCTCCCCCAGAAACAACTTGTGAGGTTTCTGGTGGTGATAGCTTCTAGCTGATGCGTTCGGGAAGTATTTTGTGAAAAATCGTGAGCAAATATTTTGTTCGTTTATGATAGGGATGACAAATGATGATACTGATGATGGTCCAGGACCTTACAGTATTCCGAAACCGAATTTTCAAATTTCCATTTTAACACGAACATTTTTGAATTTTAAACTTTTTTTTGTTGGATTTCTTCGATTAGTAACCAACTTACAAACTTTCCATCTACAATAGTTATAGATATGGTATGAAGTAGTGTCTTACACAGGAGGGTAGGGGGATAAACTAAAACAAATGTAATAAGTTTTTAATGCTGAATAGTTTTATTTTTATTGTATTTGACGCGGCCAATGAGAGGGGAGCACATGAGTTGCGTCCCGTAAAAGAGGTATACACGAATTACGTCACAAAAAATCCTGGACGCAATTCGTGTAGTTTAATCAGGGGTTCTTAAACTAAAATAAATAAATATAATTATGAGTCAATCAAAAATTGGTCTATCAAATGTAATATAAAAATAAATATATGTTAAATCACTTAAATCTAATCAAAATCAATATAGTCCGTAATATTACAAAATAAATAAACAATAATAATAATTATGATATCAAACAAAATGCCAGTAATAATAATAATAGTAATAATAATGATACAAACTTGCTTATTGTTGCTTATCAACCAGGCATCAGTAACAAAATCCATCCATTATCGTAATTTATAATATTAGGCATGTAATAGTATATAATATATTGAAACATAATATCAGTATCGCTTATAATTAATGCATCATGGAGAACCCCTGAAAAAGAAATAAAAATCTACTACCTAACCAATATAATGGGATGCAATTCGTGTATACTATTTTTACGGACGCAACTAAGGTATACCGTCTCGTGCAGCAGTTTCGTAATAATAATAATTTGTTTTTTATTTCGATAGTAAAAATTCCTGTAGATTAGATACAATACAAGACGAATCGTGTGGTTTATAATTACAGTTATATTTTCAATACCGTCAATAACAATATACTGTGATGCTGGTGTCTTTCATATTTTTTTTCCATTCTATAACGTCCGATTTCTCCGTATTATGCATTAAATTTCGTGTCGTGGTTCTCGGCCAAAGGTATCTGATCCATAATGGATCGACAGCCGAGTTAAACCCGATTTCTCTGACGGTCATTCCGTCGTTATTTTTGTCCCGACGAAGAAAAACAATTGTCAAAAACGCTGTTGTACCGACGGAGGAAAACTATGACGGCTGAAATCGCTTCGTTAAATTTATCCGAGTCGGCCGAATGGACTACGTTGTTTTCAAAATAATATTGATATTATTGTTATACTGTACATAGCGGTCGGCCTAACCGACAATTTAATGAGTTAAAAAAAAAAAACCGAAAGTCATCTCGAATTGTTGGTTTATCGAAATAATAATAACAATAATAGGAAAATCACAATTTTTTTTCTTCACAAAGTCGGTTGGGAGTTGTACAAACCCTCTATAGAAAAAAAAAAAAAATCTAAACCGACTTCGATACACGTCCCTGAATCGATATTACTCGAACCGTTAAAGTGTGAAAATCACGTGTTTATCGAACGTATAATAATACGTACCTGTCGTGCCCATACGTATTATACTTATATACTAGATTATTATGTATATATATGTATTTTTTTTTTTAACGCGTCGAGATTCGAATATTCTTACCGTAGACCGACGACGACAGCCCACCTGACCGTGACGGCCGAGGCACGCGGTCAAATGCGGAACGAGAGCTGATAATCATCACCGTGTTGTTGTTGTTGTCATATACCTATATTACACTTGGGCTTGCGCATGCGTGCGTGTGCCACTATGCGGTACCTACACATAATAATATAATGGCGAGGTGTTGACACGAACCGTACACAACACAACAGTGTCGTCGTCGTGTGCCCGAGGCTAATTATAAGAAAGAAAAAAAAAATAAGCCGAGAATGCATAGAATACGCGGAGTTATTTAACTTATATCTGTACGCGGCGACGTTAAATTATCATCAACGAAATACGATTCTGAACGAAGTTCGGTTACACAATGTCGGGTCAAAATTTGAACTTAAAGCGCTTCTTCGAGAAAAATACTAATATTCATGTATTACTAATGTATTAGTATTTCACGTTCAATTTTTTCTTTGTATTTATACCACTTAACACAACTTGTAACGAACCTAGTTCGGCCAAACAATTCGATATCCACATAAACCGAGATAAAAACTACCCGAAAACCGCGGAAATGTTAAATGCCTACAAATAACTAAAAAATTTCTAGAACTTTTTGAAATTGTCCCGCGCAAATTTTCCCATAAATGTGTGGGGGAAACAATTTTTGGAAGTATCGAGTCAGTGATGGATTTCCTGGAAGTTTAGTCGGATTTAGTGAACGCTTCAGCTCTATGAAACGCTCCTTTATTTCTGGTAAATATGTCCCTCTTCAATGTTAATTTCTATTGCTACCACTGATTTTAACCGTATCGTAATCGGTTTTTGGGAATTGCCGACGCGGAGGTTCTCTGCATACAAAACTCTCATGGCAAAGGCGATACTGTTTTCTTCTTTTTATTGCCGGATTATTTAAAAATTCGACGGTTAGCCTGGTACCTGATACCTGCCCCCAATAGCACATAAACTCAATCACGGGCGACGACAACGGCGATAAAAATTCATTGAATGTATCTGACAATAACGGCGCTGCGGTGGCGGTAAAAAAAATCGTTTCAAGGTTTCTACGTCGTTGTTGTCGGCGAATCTTTATTGTCTTTGCGTATACGGGGATTTTATTATACAGCATGATTCTTTTTTCGATCACGAACCTAGCGTAAAACAAACGATAACTGTACTCACCATCCATTATATCTATACGTTTTAAATGTGCCTTTATCTAACGCAATGATACCACATTATCAATTTAGCCTCAACTTATTGAAAATTACAGGGCGTCTACCTCCACATATTAGTTAATAATTAAATAAAAAATAGTTATTGAGTAAATTGTAACTACATGTAATTTTTAACTTTTGCCCAAAAGGGCTCTGGTTTTGGGCCTTTTAAACTAAAATTCGCGATAGGCCTCTTTGAGACAGTATAACACTGTATGAGTATAGGCACTTATTTTCTTTTTTGAGTTTAAAGCCGTGTATTAGTGTTACCGATTTATCGAAAGTCAAATTTCGAAAATGAAGTATAAAATCGGTGGTTTTTTGATAACACAAGCACCCTGTATAAAATTAATAATAGTAATATATTATAATAGACACGCGCGGTTGTGCGCATGCGGCTTATCGTGATTGATGGCAGTTTTTGTTTTTGTTTCTTCCCCCGACCGTATATTAGTGAGTTATTTAGTGTTATTGGTTTCGGGCGTCGGACGATTTTCGAAATTACCCGTAGGTATTATTTTTTCGTCTGACCCATCAATAATGTACCCATACGTACATAATATTATAAAAAGTAACTGCAGTTCACGCATATACCGATTATAATAATGTTTGTACCGTGGATAATCCGCCGCAGTGAAGCAAATTGTTCAAAGCGTTTCGGATACGTGACCGCAAGATATCGGTTTTATTCCGCGTCTTTCGCACTCATTTGTGGAATTTTAATTTTTTTTTTCGACCAAAACTTTTAGTATAATAATTGTATAAGAAAACCACACAGGGGCGGCTGCGGATAAATCGTTCTTATATCTTTATTCGTCGTTATCGGTTCCATATATCATACAATTTAAAAACGTATAGTTAGATTTACGGACCGCTTTTACCGTGTGACGAGAATTAATAATATTATCGCATGACATTTTGTGAAAACAATAAACAATTGATAAGATAATGCTATCTCGTATACGATACTCGCGGCGTCATAATTCATTATACATCTTTATTTACACCCGAACAATAATTAATTAAGATTTGTAATCTCTTTCTCTCTCTCTTCTAATGGCATAGTTACACTCTAAGAGTTTTTGCCATCATTACTACACTTCGCCATCTGTCTCCATCTTGATCTGGCTCTCCAGTTTTTAGCACTCAGTCTTTCCAAATTCTCATCTAACACGCCAATCCATCTTCGCCTAAGTCTTCCTCCAGATCTTTTCCCTTAAATTTCCACTCCATGGCTACCCTATAACTGTCTCGTCTTCGCCTGATCTCAGTATGTGGCCTAACCATTAAATTTTTAGGCCCTTAACATAGCTTGTTATCGGTGTTAAATCCGTCGTATAAAACTTGTATGGTTTTTTTTTCTGAAGACGTGAGACGAGAAGACAAATTAAGAGAGGACGAGTAATAACGGTTGAAATATCGAAGAGGAATCTGATAATCGTAACACGTATATTATATTGCCCGTATTTGGAGTGGATTGGAAATGTGTATTATTATTATTACTACATGATGATGTTTTTATAGTGTATTGCCAGACGAGTAGATGATTTTTTTGACGGTTTATTTTCTGACCGGTTTGATCGCGAAGGGCATCACTATGATAGGCTTCTATTTTTTTTTCTTTTATATACTCGATCACACCGGACAACCCTTATTATATTCGTACGGTTTCTTACATTCATACAAGTATTTTTAAATTATCGCGATCTATTGCAAACTCGTGTTTCGCTTAAAAAGTAAAATAACGAAAAAACCAACGTACAAATACAGACAATGTTCTTAAGTTTGATTATATAGGTCACCGTCACTTCACTCTAATATTAAAACTAACAGACCGAAATTGGTCGTGCTGAACGTAAATTTGCTACAGCCAGGGACAACAAATTCATAATATTGTGTAACGTCCTGCAGTCTCTTAAAGAACGCACTTTTCGGTTATCTCTCAAAAAAGACACAGTACGCGCGCGTACTACGTCATGACGTATAGCGTAAGTGCAGTGCAATTCGCATTACGTGAAATAATTATAAGGTATTGTGACGTGTTTTATTAATTCGACATAATATTATATTATATTATCCGCAACGATCCGTAAAAATAAAATCGCCCCTAATGAATATTTATTAATATTAATTGCGCGTATAATTATCGTGTGTTTATATTATAATATAAGTAGGACCCATATTATGTATTGAAATTTGGTTACGCAAAGCGACGAGTGCGTTCAAATAATATGGTACCTGAAGAAATATTCTTTTCAAATCGTTTTGCGTAAACGTACAAAACTCGCACCATATACTAAAGAAAAAAAAAATCATAAAAATGTCACCGCTCAATGAATTCGTTTCGTATATTATTACGTCGGTATTAATTTTTTTTTTATAATATATTTTACGGTAAAAAAATAATATTCTCCAGTTCACGGCCCACTCGAACAGCACGCGCGTTATATATATATATGTATATACATAACCTATAGTATAATATTATATATACCTACACACCTACCCATAAAAATATTGTACATTATTTATAACATCTAGACCGGGTGTTTTTTTTTCGCCTTATCGATGTATAGGTACGAACAGTTTTATGAAGTTTATTATTTATTTTTTTCTTCAAAAGTTATACAACGCTAAACGCGCACCGCACACGGTAATCACGCGGTGGCGCGCCCGCAGTTCTTTTTTTTTTTACTGTGCTGCGGCGGCTTAGCGCTGCAGTTCCGCTGCTCTTAGAGAAAAAAAAAAATAAATACATTTCAATCATATTGTTATTATTATTACGTGCGCGTATGCGACTACCCATAGAAGTCGTAAGCACGACGAGATCAGCGGGTTTTCTAGTGTGTGTGTGGTTATTATAATAATATTATCATTATTATTATTATTCGCATATAGAGCCGTTAGAAAAACGTGATCGAGTCCCGATGGAAACGGCGTTTGGACCGAGCGAGGACGCGAAACAGAATAATATTATAATATAATTATTATATAGGCAAAAGTTCTCCTGAAAAAAAAAAAAAAATTAAAAAAAAACCGCTCGTAAATTGGTTTAGTAGTTTTTGAGATCACCCCGGACATCAAAATGGCACTTCGTTTTATGATGTATGTAAAGATTATGCAAATAAATATAGATTAATAAATACCATATAATATATATATGTATATAAAAAACAAACGGACATACTTCGCACGATGGGTGAGCCACTGTTGTAAATGATAAGTATTGGGAATGTATAGGGGAAATTCAATGTTTAATATATATGAGTATACGCTGCAATATTGCAACGATTAACCGTTGCTAAAGAAAAACGATTCTGAGCGGTGTTTGGTTACACATTTTGTTTTGAAAAACCGCAATGTTGACGATTTAAATTTAATTAACACATTTCGTAATTTTTCCTTTTTTTCCCATTTATTATGAAAACTCCTGGAAAAATCAAAAAATGACCTCCCAAAAGTACCACCCCACTAAAATTGCTTTCCAAAAAAATAAAAATACAATATTAGTTTAAGGTATAGTATTATAGTAGCTCATATTATTTGGATTTTTTGTACGTGCAATGTGCATATATTGTTTTGGCCTGCATACTGTATGCAGGTGTGGTTCGTTTTTTGTATCGGTCTTATATAGGAAAATCGATACGACTGTTATGACGGGCTTCATATGACAAAACTCCCTTCATCATATATAGGTATAAATACGTATAGCTACACCGGGTCCCGCTGCTAAAACCACAAGATTCGGGTTTTTTCGCAACATCAATCGCCGCTCCGCCGTCTAATACGAGTGTGAAAAAATTTCACGCATATTACCTATATTATATATTATATGATTTTTACGGGCTTCCGACCCGTGTAATACTATATGTAATCCAAAATTAGTTTATGCACAGTTTTTATGTTATATTAATACGCAGACGAGTTGTTTATTGAGAAAAAAAAAAAGTGGCGTTATTTCTCGCGTTTATGATCGCATCACGACGGTAAGGCGGACGGTACACGTAGATAATATCTTTATAATGGTAAGTAAAATACCTGCCTACCTACCTACTATTAGTTACCCGCGTGTAATATATGTATCAAATTGTTAATTTCCACGCTAAATTTTTTTTTCCCTTGCCGCGGGTGTACACTTAGGTATAGGTACATATTTTATTCTTATAAAACGTCGAATAGTTACGCGATCCGAAGACGACCGCGACGACGACGTCCACGTTGTCGAGCTGCTGCGCGAGCCCCGAGGGAAGTTCGTGCAGTCGTCTATAGAGGCCTGCGCCGCACGAACAACAACCGGACAAGGTCGTGTGTAGGTCGACCGCAATCAAGTGGAGGGGAGGGGATGTCGGCACCGGCGATAACCGATTCCCATCATTATATGGGATTTAATAAAGGCTGATACTACTGATGGGCGTGCCACTGTTTTACGATGAGGGAAGTTGGAAAGCAGGATATTGTATAGAGTAATTTTTATCCGTATATTGGTGGCAGATTTCCGATAAAAAAAAATTGTTTACAGACGCAAAAAGAAAACGCGCATCACAATAAAACTGCATAGAATAAAAACTATGGCTTCGCTCGGAATCGAAAAACCGACGACCGTTTCTGTACACACGAGCGTAATGCCTAACTTTACACATGAAAATCGCGCGGATGATTTCCGATTTCCTCGCGGTTGACCGCACGATAAAAACGCGTCGGTTTATAATATAGAGTAGGACGCCTTTTTTTCTTCTTTTTTTTTTTTTTCCGGTACCAGTTATGAGTTTTTTCGGCGGCGGTGGGCGGACGCAGCCGCTGCAACTTACACACAGGTAGGCAATGCGACTCTCACACACAATACACATGCATCGCGGCCTCCTCTCTCGCGAAACGAGAAAATAATAATAACCTCTTTCGTCGTTTATTCGACGATAGTTTCGTATATATATATGTGTGTATATTTTTATTATTATATTGTACTTATACGCGTGTACCGGTTTGGTGCAGTATAACCCGGCGCTGTGCGTACGCCGGCGTGTTGCCCTGCACATATATGGCCAATGCCTTTTACGGGGGTCGTCGCCGCCGCCGCCGCCGCGAGCCGGTCACCGTCGCCGCAGCGGCGCAAAAACGGCCGTCGCCGTACCCCCGCGCTCGTTCGTTCGCCGCGACGACGACCTCCTTTCCAAACGACGAAGCCGTCAATCCCGCGCACGTACCTACGGGCGTGTATGTACGCGACAGAAGAAGTCTTGTGCGCTTTTCGATCCGTCCGGACGGCGCGTCGCAAATGGACACGCGCGCACGAAATACGACGACGGCGGCGGCGGCCGCCGAGAAGAAAAACAAAAACCGCCACTTTGTACGTATTATACGCGCGCCGCCGTGTGGCGTATCCGGTGTGCGGCCTGACGGCGGATTCCGCGAGGTCGTTGTGGCTGCCCGCGCGCCGTAGCGTTTCTCGGAAGCGAAAACATTACCCGATACATATTATTCCGCAGTCGGCACCGTATGCGCGGTTATCATTAATGTACAGTATGTCTGCATGTGCATATTTATTGTTACGCATAGGATACGCACACGCCGTTGCACTGTTGGACCGAGGAAAGGATTATTATTGTGACGGCGATACTGCTGCTGCAGCGTCCGTATCCGAGAGCATATAACCTAACGCATTTAATATACGTTATTATTGCGCGCAGTGACGGTGCAGCTAGTACGGTCCGTTTAAAATGTATTATACGGTTCTGCGGAACGGCGGATTTCGCGTAGTTTTCAGAAGACAACACTTGAAACGCCCGCAGGTGTGATTGAAAGCAGTTCTCAAAGAACGTTCGTATTACGATGATAAGAACACTTTTTTTTTTTTTTTGTTTTTGCCGAAGTCGTTAAATTGGTTGAAAGCGAAATATTATTTTTGACCGCCGTCCTCCGATAATGTTTGTCCGACATTTGTGTTCGACATTGTGGTATTTCTCTCAGAAATGAAAAGCGAAAATAATAAAAATAAAAAAAAAAAAGAAAAGATAATGGTGACGGGTGCAGCCACTGGTGTAGGTGGGAAGTTGGGAAGGCAGGATACAGACGGGAATTTAATTTATATCCGTGAACAACGATAAACCAACGCTTACGAAAAAAACGATTCTGAGCGGAGTTCAGTTGATAGTGATGCTTTCTCAACAATATACATACCATATTATAGTAAAATAATTAAATAGATTCTATATATTTTCTTTAATAATATTTGTTTAATGTTGTATTGATTTTCTCAGTTTTCATACGTTTTTCCCGGTTTTCCCATGTTTTATTTCGGTTCTACACATTTGCTGGGAAAACTCATGAGAAAATCGAAAAATTACCTCCATAAAATACCTCCCCATACCGATTTTCTTTCAAAAAAGATGCTACACTTAGAAATCCGAGTAAGTCTTCTCTTGTAGAAAAATTGTTGACAGATAAAAAAAAAAAAAAAACAAAAATCTTTGTAAAACCATAAGTTTCTTCGCTCCACTCAGAATCTAAAATACTTGACTTTTTTTTTTTTGTTTCAATGTCGTATATCCTATAATGTTTGTGTGCAGGTATATGTATATTGTTATAAACTACAACGACAGCTTAGATATCGACAATTTGCGTTTCTAATATTTATATATGAATGCGTGTTTGAGTCTGAATTCTGGTCGTGATATTATGACGAGGGGAGGAGTAGAGGTACACGTATACGCTACTCTGTCGACGTCGTGCCGTTATTGTTGATTCTGTTGACGACATAAAAAAAAAATAAAAAAAACCAGTGAAAATTTCGTAAACTCGAAATCGCCGCAATAAACCTATAATGTATCGGACGTATATTATTATATTATTGTAAATAATATTGCGGTGTTTGCAATGCAGTAGTTCGATATTATTATACATGCGCTTTGCAGCGGCGGCGGCGAGGACGTCGATCGGCTGTCACGATTCGTCTCGGTCACGTTGTTTATTCACAATATTATTTCATACAAGTCCGACAATCGGTTGTTGTAGTTACGCTTTTAGCCTTGTCGTCGTCCGCGATGTTTGTACAAGAACCCCTCTTAGTCCCATATACGGCACGGTCAAAAATGCATTTTGGCCGCGTACGAAATTTAGAGAAAAAAGAAACCCGCACACAATATTTACTAAAATATCGAACACAATGCCGCAAACACCCGGGCCAGAAGGGGATGCACGATCGGATGATGGATGCAAGTCGTTATTTATTTAATCCACAGACATTTTACTCGGAGAAGCTATTACCATAACGATTTGGATGTTGCATGCATATGCCTCGAGAAGAAAATTAAAATCGTATAAATACAGGTTTTTCGCCCGCATGAGAGTCTCTCGAAATCTCGGGTTTTTTCTTAGATTGAAAACACGGACAGGAAAATAATTAAAAAAGCACACATCATAGCCGCTGTTTTATTTATTTTTTCTATGAGAAATATTGTTCGGATTTTCAAGCGTGTTGGCTTTTTTTTTTAAAAAAACAAACTATATTTAGTCGGTGCTTTCGGCATTTAGAAGGTTTTATATTTTTTTAAGTTTTTTGTCACCCGTCACCGCAGTGGTGTATAGGCCCGCCAGGACGCCGGGATTTAAAAGACAAAGGTTGAGTGATAATAATTTCTCCCGGGCGCCGGCCTTAATCAGCCGACCTTGCCAATAATCAGTCGCAGCACATCGGTCCTTTTTGGTTTTTCTACTGATTCAAACGGAGCAAAAAAAAAAATAAAAATAAAAACCGTTTTTCGCGATTCAATACGATTTCCGGGAAACCGGTAACCGCCGACGCGCGGATCGGGGCCGGTATTGAATTTCAGTAGGTAGCCGAGTATTAATATATTATCAATGTTACTACGCCGGCTATTTTATATACTCTATCGTGTTATTTATCTGCCCGTTTTCGAAAAGTTACGCGCGCCGTTTATAATAAACAGAGTCGCGGTCGTTTTATTAGTTCGTTAAAATCGCCGTGTAAATAATACGTCGCGGACGCGGCGAGCAGGTATATTATAATACGTTACGTACAGGTACACCGCGTATATTAAAATATATTATTATAATATGTACACGTGTATATTATAATAACGTGTATATCATTATTATGTGTACACCACGGAGGCGTGTGTATAAAAGTAATAATACGCGTTTGCGTGCGTTGTAGGTTAGGTTTTGTTTTTGTTTTTGTTTTTTTTTTTTTTGTTCTCCGTTTCGGAAAAACGATAATGTATTATTATTATTATTATCGTTTTCAATGGTGGAGACCGACCATTAATATAGAATACGTACGGTGCGCATATGGCGCGCGCTATAAGTGTACACACCATCGTCCGTCCGTACGGAATCGGGGATAGTAGAGTCACTCACAGCCGAGTTCCGGACGTTCACGTTTATCTTCTTTCGTATAAACGGCGATTTTAAGGTAAAAAAAAAGAAGAAAGAAAAAAATATTTATATTTTGTCGCGATACTCATCATTGTGCTATCACGATGGCCGCTGCCGCCGCCGCTGCCGTTTGATTAATTATCCACAGCCAAACGGAACGATATTTATCGCGTATAATAATATAATATAATACTCGTATTTAATATTTACGACTGCTTCGCGTTTAATGGTTTCTTTCTTTACGTTTTTTTTTTTTTTTTATTTACTTTTCAATTTATACTATTATAACCGACCGCGTCGCCGATAAATTCAATTTTCCCCGTTACTCGCGTAATCGCGGCAGTGCAGTGCAGTACGGTTCTTTTTTTTTATAGCTATTTGTTCCATTATTGAAATTAAGAACCCATATGCTTACCGCTGCTGCAGCTAGTTCATTCGCCTATTGTACGTATTTAAAATTTCGAAAATGATTAAATACGCAAATTTATTGTCATATAGAAATTCAAAATACAATCATCGTTCACTTATAAGACAATAAGTTTACACGGGATCGTTATTCGTTAAACTCGCATATCAACACACGTTTTTGTGCGCATTACCTTAATGCGTTTATTTGATTTGTCAAATCGAATTAACTCTAATTCTCGTGTTAAGAAGTGCGCCTATGTATAGATAAAAACGATAAGCGGATTAATATTTTTGACAAGGAATTAAGTATTAAATTATACATTATATACAAATATGTATTATACATGTATAATTCATATATTATGTAATTTTATATGAGTTTAATCCTAATATTTGAAATGTGTACGTTGTACATAAATCTGCGCAATAATGCGCGTTAACTGAGGCCTTATTAAATTAATGCGTATTAGCGACTGCATAATATATAAACGCAGTGTATAACTATATCCCTATACGTAAAATTATGCATTCCATGTAATGTCGACAGTAATAATAATACAAATTATAAAAACATTTTTTGTGTATAGGTACCAAATAGATAAAATAGTGATGAGTGATTTTACATTATTATAATATAGTCCTAATGGTAAATAATGATGGCGATATTAAAAACTAAAACCGCATTTTATTCGATTATAATAAACTATAGATTTTGAAACAAATAAATTATTATCAAAGAATTTTATACTTATGTAATTTTTTACTTGTTTGTAAATACGTGAATCTTTAAACGTGTAAAGATAAAAGAAAAATGTGTAATATTGCATCGGTAAAAAAAAACACTATATACATGTCTGCTAACTAGTGAAGCCTCATTCGTTTAGCACTGTACATAATATAGTAATAATGTACGAAAATGTAAACAAACGGCCTCACTCGGTGACACCTGGTGGTGTCCAATCCAGGTATTTATTATCTATATATGTAATGTCTACAAAATTTGATAAATACAAAAATATGATATGAAAGATGATAAACTTTATTTATTTAATTTCTTTAACGCGTACAATATAATATTCTCGGTCCTTGTAATCGCAAATTTTTTAACTACAGCTGTAGTTTGCACTTTTTATTGAACGATTTTCGCTTACATAATTAATCACTTATGTTAAAGTAACTCTATACGCGGAGAGATTGTATTATTTCGTAGACGCTTTGATTCTGGATGCGTGCATCCGAAATTCGTACCTAGTGAAATTGCAGTGTTTACCTCTTCCGAGAATGATGCCACTAGATTCAAAGGGTTATTTGCACTTTACGCGCGACTTATAATTCTGTTTTGAAGATCTAATTAATTCCGCGTTTGTCTTATATATCACTAAAGGAGACTTCCGTACCCACGATACTTTGTTCGTTTGAATACTTCAGCTGTGGGAGTGAACAGGGGGATTCTAGCACACCGCATATTATGGCCCTTGACCTCTTCGTGATACACAGTTCAGGAACTCTCAGCACGTTCTCTTTAATCTCGTCACTCGTATGTGCAGTATGAGGTTGACGGGGATAACGCATGATGGATAACAAGACAATGTATGACAAGAAACGTAGGTACCCGTCAATAGAAACCCGAATGGAATAGTTATTACAATCAGTGGTTTTCAACCTTTTACTAATAGCGAACCTCCAATTTCTTTTTTCATGCAAGACGACCCCTTAAAAAATTGTTTCATAGAAGTTGAATTAAAATTATTAGAAAAATCATTTTAATTTTAATTTTTATAGAATTGGATACCAATAATTTTTTTTTTTTTTATCTAACAACACTAATGCAACACAGCAATTTTTAAAACAATTTCGGCTATCAGTCCGATATATCAAAGCGATGAAAACAAATTTGAATTCAACGTGAAGTGTATACAGGATTGGACCGAATGCCGGAAAATAATATAGGTCTACATCGGTATGCTGAGTTTGCGTTAGACTTTGAACGAGATAATATCGGTATCCAACTCCCTTCAACTCGAACAGTTGATTATTTTCAACGTAATCGGTTTGATTTTAGACCCGCATACTCGAATTTTTATACGGTGGTTGGATCCGTGTCGCCGTAACGCGTGATGAAAACAAACCCGTCGTTTTTTTATTCTCGCGCAGGGCGGTTTTTTTTTTTATTCTTCTCCTCGAGTGGCGGTCGCCCGAATGTTCGATCCGGGCACAGCATGTGAGCCCGGATCGTCAAAGGTGTTACAAATCATAATCACAACCATATAATAATACTACCTATGTTATTATGTAACAACGACGACGCGAGCGAGCCGATACTAGAGAGATGCGCAGCGCGGCGTCTAATGGAATTTCAATGTTTTTTTTCTCTTTTTTTTTCTCTATCCGTCTTCGGTGTTTATCTGATGATGCGTATATTATTTTATATTCGGCGTTGCCTATTGTTGTCGTCGAGCGGTCGGTCCATCCGGACAAGTGTCTGGTGAACGGGTGGGCGAAAACCCTACGACGACGACGACTCCCACTCGGCGGCGGCGACGGCCATAACGTCGAAAACGATATATATATTTTTTCCGTTTCTTTATTATTATTGTTGTTGATCGATCGGCCACTCAATACGGCTATAGTATATACGGAGAGACGATACCTACCCGAGTGCGATTTATCGTATAATAATTTATGATCACGCTCGCGCGCGCTCTCTCTGCGTATACCTTGGGCATCATTCGCACCGCGCGTCTGGTCAGCCGACGACGTACGAACACGTCTTGACGACTACAATGTTATTATTTTCTCGATTGCATACCGGCGTTATCGAATTTTGTAGATTGCCGTTCTTCTGGTACAGAAAAGATCTCACCGTAGACTTAAATTATAATAATAATATAACATTTCGGATAATATAGACCGCGAATTAAACTTGTTTCGCATCTATAACACGTTTGGACCACAACATCTCATGAGCGCGACACACCCTGATGAACTTAGGGGGCATTAAAGTCACTGATCATTTCCACCAAACCACGTTCAGTTTTTTCTGTTACGAATTATTCTATTATTAGTGTCAGTAAACTATGCATTATCTACCGTTAAATTAATAATGTTGTAATTTGTTCGGATTAAAAAAAAAGTTAAAAATAAACAAATGTGTGACATAATAATATAATAATCATGTAAACAGAAGTTACAGTTTATAGAAAAATGTAAAGTTGCAAAGTTATCTTATGTTTTGGAGAAGAAGACTAACCCCCTTCCACCAGCCGGGTACGTCAGTGGTAATATCAAGTATACGATTGTAACAATATTATAATTTTACTGCTGGTAATAGTTTTTTTTTTTTTTTAGTTACATTAAATTTCATAACGAACCGAGAGACAGAAAATTAACAAATTCATCTCGTATACTATCGAAAAAACCAAAATATTGTATTATGGATTATACACAGTTAAACATAGTTAAACGGACACGAAACCGTCATGGTACGGATAATAATAAAACCCGTCCATTGTTTTTTTTTTTAAACCTCGTAGTATAATAATAATTTTTTTTTTTTTAATAATATATTCCGCGTGGGCAATAATATTATCATCTCGAACGAAGCAATTGTCAATTCGTATATACGTATGTACGTATATTATACACAGGCCGTGCGGCACGTACCAATTAATTCCAGATGTTTACGTTTTTCTACGCCGCCGTCGCCGCGGTGAGGTCGTTGTATAGGTATCTACGTCCCGACGGGTTCCCGCGGACGTTTATTACGTTCCAGATTTTTACGCCGGACCGGATTTATTTTATATTTTTCATTTCATTTTACAGATGATTAAATTCCAAGTTTTTGGTTTTTTTTTTTTTTTTTAAATTTTATAGTATTATTATTATGCGGTCGACGAGTTGTAGACGAGCGGGTCGCGAGGTTATTTGTAGTACCGCGGTATTATGCGCGTGTGTTTTATTATTGTACCCGGTTGAAATGTATATCTTGATGGAAAAAAAAAACACTCGTATTCCGTTTAAAAAAAAACCGTATCGAACTGTCATGTTTATCCAAGTACTCGGGTACGGTACGCGAACGACGGTATTATTATTATCATTATAATATGCATTATCGTGTTAGCGTTTTTGTTGGTCGGGATTCGTCGGATAACGAGTGAAAAAAAAATATACATACAAATATTGTAACATTTGACGCATTTTTCACTGCGGTGTTTACGATCGTAAACCGTTTGGTGCAGTATGTACCAAATTATGTATATGTATCGTTTTGTCGCCGCGCATAATCATTAACGTATGTCATACACCAATCGCGTTTGCCGGTTATTGATGTACACATATGTTCCCGAAATAGTTCGCAATTAACGGTTTTTTGTTATCATCATATGCGGAAACGTTGCACCTGTTGATTTGCCACAACGTTATCGCCGTCACCCAATTAAAAAGTTAATTATTTATTTTCAAAAAAAAATAAAACAAAAATACACATTTATACCGTTTTTTATTGTACCGTATTGTTTTTATTACGAGTCGAATATTCGATAGAAAAATATTTTTAAACGCCGACGTGGTTGGCGGCATCTGCGCGTCTGTTAATTTTCTAATACTCTTAATGAGTTTTGTTTTGTTGTTTTGATTAACCGAGTGAACAAATTGCCTAAACACGATCCCTTGAAAACGAAATATTATTATTTTATAGTGACTGGCGATTCGCGGATGATGATTTACTGTCTGGGAACGAGAATAATTACGACCGTTACGAGTTGATTGTATAAAGCAACTATATGCAACTGTAGTTAGTGGGAAATTTTTACACGACAAAAAAAAAAACAATATCCGAACACGTTATTCGGACTTTAAAACGCCGTATGTATACGCGGACTCGTTTCTCCGAAGTTAGCGAAGAGTCGTAGTGCGTCTCGTTTTAATTGATCGATCTACACGTTGGATCGAACTTGATTCTTGTTGTAGACGTGTTGTTTGTACGACGAACGTATTCAGAAGACGTCTCGTCGGAAAGCTCGAAGTGAATCACTATTATAAAATATGTATTACGTCACGTGTATTTATACACTTATGTGTACTTCGGACTTTGTATATTATTTAGTATTTCGATAAAGTCGTTTTTTGGATGTACACTGTGTGGTGATGTTGTTTCGACTTCGTTTGCGATTCTACGAGAATATAATACAAAATGAATCGATACTGCAGTTCGGTAGGACGCGAAACACAATGCCGTAAAGTACGATAAAAAAACAAAAAAAGTGACGCAATTATAATATTTAGGTATCGATCGAAAACAATGGGACGAACGTAAAGATCTAAATACGGCATCTGGCATTGTCGTGGTACGTGCGTATTTTTATTTTTTATTATTTTTCGCTGACCGGCGTGCTTTATGTACGTAAAGTAATACGATATCCACGATCGTAAACGTCAATAATAATATTATTACGACGCAGTCGTTGCTGAACATTTTGGAACAAACGAGTTTCCAAGACAGTATAAAAAACAAGTCGACTCTGCATGTATGCGTAAATAAGGGGAAGTCTGGCAAGTTATATACAAAGAGGGTAAATTTTATCGATTAACCCATTCGTTTATGCTATGAATTATGGGATAAATACACGCGATAATATGATAATATGGCAATTAGTCGAAATCGTCTGTATCACAGATATTGAGAAACATCTTTCGACCTAATTTGATGAAGGCCTAATTTTATATTGTTTTCAATATAAGCAAATTCAATTTTGAAAATTTCTAAACGGCTAAACTATACTAAACAGCCTAACCTAAACGCATGCGTTTTAAATGCCTTAAGTCATATAACTAAAGGTATATATAATAAGCTTTTCTTCTCTGGAACCTAAGATTTGTAACAATGTATAGTTTTATTATAATTTATGAGATACTAACGTTTTGTATATTGTGATCTTCAAGTCTAAAAACTAGCTATTTCCTTTACAAAATCTAACTAAAATTAATAATGAATGATTTGAAGCCTGCGTATAAGCGTGAGGTCTGGTGCGGTCACACATTTCGCACCGCTCTTCCATCAGCTCTGGTTTTCATATATGTACCTAGACAGGTGCATGCGTATTTTTTATCGATACAACCATTTTCCATTATCTTTGTGAGGATTAGAATCTTATCGCGTGCATGTATAACATTATTATGAAGTTAGATAGTATATTGAAAGATACTATCCTAGGTTTTTTGACGAATCGCACACACAATTCTCACGAAAATGGCGGACCAGGACGTTTTCAACTCTTGTCACTGTATAGTTAAACATCTATGCATAGTGTATTTTGTATTTTATATAACTATTATAAATAACCTGCGGTTTCAACTGAGTCTATTCGGGTTTATATAATATCGTCGTAAAATTTACGACGCGTAAACGACGTTATTATTTCATTGGTTAATATCGATACGCAAATAATATTTACCCTCTTGGTATACGGCTTCCAATCTTCGTGTTCCTGTGATGTTCGTGTCTCTAATGGCTGTTTATCATATTATTGTACAATGGTTGTTTTAAAATATTAATATATCTACGTGTCCGAAACCCAGATTGCCGTTTCACCGCGACACCTCAAAATGTTTTCAACGACCGGTTTTTTTCTTTTTTTGTCAGGTACTGCTGAACAGTTGTTATAATGACGATTTATTATTACTAACGTGACTTATTGTAAAATATAACTTTTTTTTTAAAACCAGTTTTCAGTTACAGTAATAATATAATATTATATATTATATACGAAAACCGTCAAATTTATCGCGATCATTAAATTCGTTATGCGTTTTGTTTGCCGCGCGGTCACTGGGTACCTTATTACAATACTATTAAAGATGCAAATTCGCAATGGAACAAAAATAAATAAATAAACGACACGATTCGCCCGACACTCGAAAACACACGTTTACTACACATACCTATACAATATTATTGTCAACCGTTCGTATACGTACGTCTTAATTTATATATCGAATATTATGCATAATATAGCTAGAGGCGAGAGGGGAAGTTACCGAACGTAACTAAATTTAATTTTCCATTGTCTTCGCGTACCTACCCCTAGATGTTTAAAATAATAATAACAATATATTATTATATTTAAATAATTCACATGTTGTGTAGTATTATATCGACATCTACTATATATTATATAATTACGTAGGTATATTGTTTATGTGTATGGATAATACCTATTCAAAAATCGTGATTTAAAAAAAAAAAAATAATGACTATTGTTTATATACGATTTCCGGGTGGATTATTATGATTTATTATATTATCACAATAGATTGTCTATCGCATCTGTTAACTACGATAGTTACAATGAAATTTAAGTTAATTTTAATAAAGTCGAGTTTAAAAAAAATATATTAATAACAACTTTTCACGAAATTATATCAAAATTAAAGTTAAATTTAGTTTTTAATTTTTTTTTTTTTCTAAATATTTAAATAAATCCAAAAACTTATTCAATACATTGACTGTTAAATTTAATTCTGGGCATTACTCACTAAGAGTAATTATTACCTATACGTATACGAGTTAAAGAAAGCCAAAAAGTATTTTCTCATTCTATAATTGAATGACTTTAACTTTTAACTGCAAGTAAAGGTCTTTTTTTTTCAAAGTAAACCAAAACATAATTTACTTATGCAACACGCAATATTATAGATTTGGCTCTGTCGTAACACGAAACCGATTTCTTTTTAACGGGCTTTATTTTACGGCATTGCAAAACAAATATACAAATACTGCTAAAAGTTCTACTCTGCCATATTTGCAGGATTGCTATAGCAGATAATTATGGTTCGGTAATCGGCTAAATTGTCCAAATTCAAATTCTCGACCGCTGATAGATTGTCGAGTATACATAGTCGTGACCGATGTATTTGTCGATCGTGATAAATCAAAATGTCCGAACGCTAATGATGGCGAATACGCGACTTAAATCTCGCGGAAAAATCGAACCGCGTCAAATTGCGTCGTGAAAATTGTATTAATATTATTATTGTGTATAGACGTGGAATGTCCGACGAAGATCAATAATATCCGAGTGAAAACGCGTTACCATGATATTTCGTGTCGCAGTAATTCGAATTTACTTATGCAACGTAAAACAGTGGCGGCGTGCCCGTGAAAAGTCAACGGAGGGGAGAGAGATTAAAATCCCTCGGTGCGTACGCCACTGATCCGCGTTATTTCGCTTAAGGTGTTTTCGGGTTTGTATACTAGTGCAGGAATAGTATTATGATATTATTGTATACGCGGGTAAATACGGCGTGTTAAAAAAAAAAAAATAAATAAATAAATTAAATACGCGTAAGTATTTTAAACGTCGCTGCGAATAATAATTTTCCCCCGAAAATAATACGCCTAACGGCCCGGGTTGCTGCAACAGGCGAGGTCCTCGCGAGTTGTGCCCACACCGTCCGATATTATATTATATGTATACAATATGCATATTATATAGGCGTCTTATTTAGAATTCATTAATAAATATAAAGACGAGATAAAAAAAAAAAATGTAAAAAATGTCGACCTACGTAGAGCAATTACGTACGTCAGTTCGGTCGAGGAGGCGTCAGAGGGATAGGAGGGGGTTACGATATTTTATTATCGCCCCTTGTCGCAGCCACATAATAATAATAATAATAATAATATGGATCATTTATGCGCGTATACGGGAAAATTATAAGAGCCGACGAAAGGTATACGCGCGGATGATCTATTATCATTATATTATGCGACGGGCCGGAGATGATAATATTATAATATATCATGTTCGATTCGCGCCGCCGTACGTAGTAAAATGATAAATTAAATAATTATTTGTCGATATTATATTATGTATATTGTAAACCAGTTTTTTTTTTATGTACCCGAGTGTATGTTGTATACGTATTATTTTTTTTGCGTTACGTCGTTGAAATGCGCCCACACGGCGCCCGACGTTCGCGACCGCGACGTCTCGATCGCGGCCCGCGCCGGCGCCGTGAGGAATTTCCCGAATTTCCCGTGTCCGACACGCCCGGGAAACGGAATTTTCCGCCGGTCCGTCCGTTTCCCCGGGGTACTTATCCCGGGCTCTCGGTCCGGACCGGGCGCCCCGAAAATTCCGGGGTTCCGCCGACTTTTGGCGAACATGTGTTCGGCCGGAGGTGTCCTTGCGCGGCCGTACCCATACACCGCGGTACATGCACGTATATATACTTAATAACATTATCGTAATACCCGCCGCCACTCATTATGTACAAAAAAAAAACAAAAAGGTCACAACGATATATACATTTTGAGACCTTCGGTTCAATATAACGGACTGTGCCGTAAATTTTCCGTATTCGAATCGATGGCATTGCCAAATGCAGGTAACCTCATTTTTTAAAAAAAACGATTTTTTTTTTCCACAGAGATAACATATACCGTCTGGACCTAGACGATCTGAAAATTATCGAGACTGCCCGATGGCCGGCCACCGAGGAAAAGGTGCAGCTTTGTCTGGTGAAAGGCCAGAGCGTCGACGACTGTCACAACTACATCAAGGTGCTCTTATCCACCGGAAAACGGCTGTTCGCCTGCGGTACTGGAGCGTTTTCGCCACAGTGCACGTGGCGAGAGGTTAGTGTGCATGGTGCATCCTATTTATATACCGTATTTAGTGTATAACATTAAAATCCGTTAATTTCGGTCTCCGATGAGTTATACCGCGAAATTATCATAAACACCATCACGTCTAAATTTAATATACAAGTTATTCGATGAAATACAACCAGACGGGGCGCCCGAATAAGAATAATTGCGTGGTAACATTTTAAAATTTCAACTGCATGTGTAGAAATAGTTTCTGTAAAAATTTCGAAAAACCCCCTACCTTGTTCTATGCGATTCGCGTGATCATATTTCTAAGAGGGTCGGAAACGGTAAGGAAACACTTGTCCGTTTTATTGTTTATTATTTTGGTTTGACCTGCTGATACTCCGGCTTCCGTCCAAATAATCACCCAACATACTAGACCAGTGTCGCTGAATCTTATACAAAATTAAGCCCAGAGTCAATTAATTTTAGGCCGAAGTTGAATCGTGAAACTTACTTCAGTATACAGAAATAAAATCCTATACACTAACCATGATTTTACACATATAATGTGCTGTACTTAGTTATTGGAGCCTCTTGAAATGACTACATTTGTAGGACTTCCGCGCCACTGTATACCGTTGGCTACCTCATCGTTTCTATCCTTCTGTCTCGTTGCGCGTGCCTACATAAGCCGCGATAGAAACGCGCACTGTTTATACGCACGAATAACGTCGTAATTTACCTTTCAACGACCCTCGTTTTAGTGGCAACACGGCGGTAAATCGTATTGTGAAAATCGCTCCCAGGCGGGCGGTCGGTCGCTCGCTTGTTTATAAAAATAATAATAATAATAATAATAATATATATTCTCTTCGCCGTGGTTGGGTCAAGTTTAGGTTAGGTTAGGTTAGCTGTCCGAAAGCGCGTACGATAATTTTTAGCCGACCGTACGAAATAATATACATCAACGTCGGTACCGGGGAAAGTGCGCGCGCGTCATTATCATAATAATAATATTATTATGTTCTCGGCAGCGTGATTGACTATCATCGCATAAATGCAGCACGACCGTGTGACTATTGCTGCATTTCTCCGGTGACCGCGGTATACTTACTGGTTTTTCACTTTTTTTTTTCCTACACAGATGGAAAACGCCAACGGCGTGACGGACACGGTATGGGGCGTGGGCAAATGTCCATACAGCCCGCTGTCCAACATCACCGCCATGATCACGTTAAACGGCCAGTACTTCGCGGGCAGTCCGATGGACTTTTCCGGGGTCGACTCGGCCATTGTCCGCGATTTGGGAGCCTCGTATCTTCGCACGAAAAACTACGACGCCAAGTGGCTAAACGAGCCCCAGTTCGTCGGATCGTTCGAGACCGACGCCTACGTGTACTTTTTGTTCAGAGAGGCCGCCGTCGAGTACATAAACTGCGGCAAGGTACGTGATTTCAATATCTGGGTATTACCTATTCAAAAAATGTATTTAATTGCAAAAGGGTTAAAAAAAATAAAATAATAACGACAATGGTCGAACTGCACTCTTCCAATAACAGGTAACGGTCGTACGTTTCAACAAAAAAGTTCGAAAAAATAAACTTAATTTTAAAGGGAAACGAAATCGGAAAATATTACGCTCAAAATCAATTACCGGAGTACAAATTTTGATTTCAGTTTCATATATTACTACGAAAAATTATTTCAAATAATAGTAATAATACAAATTTTACTTGTTCAAAAAACATTAACATAAAAAATAAATAAATAAAAAACCAATGTTCAACCTAAATGATACAAATTATTGATATGGCAGTCCTACAACCTAGCATGCAAATGGGAAGGGAATTGAATGTTTTAGAACCTTTTTTTTTTTAACTTGCGTGAAGTTCGACCGTTGAAAATTTGATTATTTCGAAGGGTCAGTGTTGCGGACAAATACAGAAAACTAAATTTTTCTGTTTCCCGACATTATCAAAAAAAAAAAAAAAAAAATTCAAATTTATACAAACTGACGACGTGATGTTACAGAGGGTGTACTCGAGAATCGCTAGGGTGTGTAAAAACGACGTCGGCGGACAAACCATGCTACGGGACAATTGGACGACGTTCATCAAAGCCCGCCTTAACTGTTCCCTACCTGGCGACTATCCGTTTTACTTCGACGAGATCCAAAGTATGACTTACCTGCCGGACGACGGACTGGTTTACGCCACGTTCACCACGCCGAGGTAAGCGATCCGACTTGGGCTCCGCGAGACTTCGCAATCGTTTCTACGGTGTCGATGCGTTATTATTATTTTTTTTTATTTTCCTTGCGAAGTAACGGTATCGCTGGTTCGGCGGTGTGCAGTTTCAATCTGTCCTCTATAAACGCCGCGTTCAACGGGCCGTTCAAGCACCAAGCTAACGTCGGTTCGGAATGGGCACGGTACAATCCGCCACATCAGCTCAACCACGGCCACTGCCAAAGACAGGACCCCAACCAGATAATCGACTCGTCCAGGTATATAAATTACGGTTGAATAATATTATTTTATACATCATGTATACTAATACTGTCCCGCCCGGCGTTGCCCGTGCCAAAATGAATAATATTAATTTTATGTTTCGATTTGGTTTTCCATTTTATTTCATCGTTATGTGTGTCCGTAAGATAAGCCATGAATCGATAAAAGTGATTAGATCTCCGTACCGAAAATACCAATAACTCCGCGGCAGCCCCTCTTTTGGGATATATGAAAGTGAAGTTGAATAATTTCGGAATTCATAAAATTTAATCTGTCCCAAATCGTCGATAAAATTGCCTATACCCAATCTCCTATTAACAGAAGGTGGTAACTCGTCCTCTTATTAAAAATATCTATAATATTATTATGCGTGCGGTTTAAATTTTACGATTTGTCGAATTTCTATTTGTATATTTTTATCATGTAAATCGACTAATTTATATTCGATTTATTCTACATTCTTTTCTGTATCGATTATTTTAATTCTAATTATATTATCGTCTACGTAAATCTAATAGAGATTCCAAATACACACAATAGGTATAGGGTATATATTTTCAATTATCTAAATCTATAGGCATTAATAGCTTATAAAAAAAAATTTAAATTACAAGTCGATTTACAATCGATTAGAATGCTGCAGCTGTACACGAGGATTCCATATATTATATTATACTCGTATATAATTGCATTTCAGTTAGCCGAACGAGTTTTGTTAATATTTCGTGTATGCTAGACGAATATTATTATTGGGTACTGTTTTTATTTTTTATTTTTATATAAGTGATTGACGCAACGCTACAAGGCGAAATATTATAAAAGTGGTTCCCGGGGGCATGGGAAATACTATTTTAATAGTTTAATTCATTTGGACGCGTACACATCGATGTTTGATTTACGGGCGTTTATTACTCGTACGTATTTTAAGACTTCAGGCAGCGGTGCCGGTGTCGTGTCCTTTTTCAGGCGAAATTGTATGTTTTCTAAACATTGGGTATTGTTATTTATGATTTTATATTAGTGATGATGATCGTTATCGAATATATAGTTACTATCGAAATATCCGACGGTTGATTACATTCGAGCTAGTCGAAATATTAAAAACTATTCGGTTATGGGGGGAAAAAAAACTATTCGAATAGCGTTTTCTATTTGATTACATTCGTGTACACTCCGCAAATGTACCTTGTACTATACGGATATATATATATATATATATATATATTGTATAATACGGAGTGGAACATTATACAGGGCGATTTTTTTTATTATTAACCATGAAATTTTTCGGAGGATTATGTGAACTTTCGAAATGAATATGATTTCTTCTTTTTTTTTTTTTTAAATCATTACGAAATCGACTGACCCTTTTTTTAACATAGATTCGAATAAAGAATATTTTCTTTAGAAACGTTGATGTACATAACACTAATATTAGACTTACCGTTTATGAGTTACCTGTAAGTTTATAACCGTTTAAAGTTTGGATTGCAACTTAAATGCAATTTATTACCCTTCCCTATTACCCAGCCTAAATTTAAATGGTTATAACTTATAAATGATAAATCTGATATTATGTTATGCAGATCAACATTTTTCGAAAAATATTTTTTATTCAAATTAGTGTTCAATAAGGGGTGTTCCTATTTGAAAAACAAAAGTACTTATTTAAGGTATTTAAGGAAAAAATATAAAAAATGATTTTAAAAGAAAGCCTAACCGATTACATAATGATTAAAAAAAAAAATCAAAATCAAATTCACTTAAAATCCTCCGAGAAAATTGCTGGTTCAGATAAAAATTTTAGCCTGTATAATTATCGTAATATATCGTTAATTTGATAACAGTTATCAAACTAAAATATCGATTACATACAAAATAGGTATATATTAAATGTAATCTACGTACACCGTCGACGTACCCCCAAAATTGACGTTTTCCTTGTTTTACACTAGCTTTGATAAGATACGCGCCGTCATATGGAATTTCCGTAGTCTATTGCAACTGCATTGATGATTGCATATGATAGTAGGCGAAACGTGCACAATACTCGTGTAGAAGAGTATAATCAGATGAAAAACTCTATAATAATTTTTTATGTGAAAAGGAAAAATATAATTTTTTGAAACATTCGATTGTTTTCCCGAATAAAATTACATTCGGTCACGGAATATGCGACAGTTCGTTCATATTATTGATAGTGTAAACTATTCGGAAGTGCTCATCACTACAGTTTGTGTGCATCATATATACTTATAGATACCAACTGATGGACAACGCAGTGCAGCCCACCACTCTGGACCCGTTATACTACAAGCCGTTGGAAATTTTGACGCATATCGCCGTAGACGTCGTGCCGACCAAACCACATGGATCTTTGAAAGTCCTGTACGTGGCCACGGCTAAAGGAACCGTGAAAAAGATAACCATTCTGCCCAAGACCTCGGTCACGTGTACGCTGGAAGAATGGAATTTATTTCCCGAGAACTCGGGTTCGCAAATCATGGCGTTGCATTATTTGAAAGTCACGGTACGTACACATACCTATAATCAGGGTTGGGTAGTATCTTTGATACGGTTCTGGAAAGTATCGAGTATCTTGTATTGTGATTGGGGATGGGCATGAAATCCGAATATCCAAATTATCCGACTATCCGGATATTTGAATCTGGATTTGCTTTTTTAACTTACTAGATCACTCTATTTTCTCAACTAAACACACGACGACATAGAACTTAAATTTAATAAAACGTTATACATATTGTTATTAAATTGTTTGTTATAAAACGAATTCACTGCGTGTATGGAATGCGTTAATATGACCTATAATTATAATACAATACAGCATAGGGTAAATAATAATCAAGGTTTAATTAATAAATTTAACAATAAACAATTTTGTTAGTTATCGAACTAACAAAAAATAGTAGAATTTTTGAATACTGGATATGTCCTTTATAACTAATAAATGTTGATACTAAAATAAATGTATTTTGTATATCGAGTATCGAGAGTGTGTATAGATACCTACTAATTTTTAAGTATCCATCACCCATGTCTCTTATGTATACAAATACATACATTTATTTTGTGTTAACGTACGAGTTGTGACGGATCTGAATTAATGATTTTCCACAATCATTGTATTATACAGGACTCGATATACGTGGGCACCAGACACCGAGTTTTGAAAATACCCGCCCAACACTGCGGCCGGCACCGGAGCAAAGAGGCGTGCATGAACGCTATGGACCCGTATTGCGGCTGGAACGAACACGTAGACAAGTGTCAACCACCGACCAACGGCAACATACTGGAGCACAACTGGAGACAGGACGTGACCAAATGTCCGGACCGATCACGGCCCATAGACGGCGATTGGTCCAGCTGGTCGGCCTGGGCCCCGTGCACGCAGAACGTCAACGGTAAGGAGTCCGTTGACCAGTGCCTGTGCTCAAGCAGGACGTGCACGAACCCCGAGCCCAAGTACGGCGGTGCTGATTGCCAAGGACCCACCATACAAGTAATTATAACATAATATTTTAGGTCTAGTTTTCTAAGTCTGAGAGATAAAAGCTCGCCCTTAGCGGCCTTCCTCTCCATTATTTATCCCGTGATACACTTGCGATTCTCGGAGTGTGATGAGAAGACGGCTAAAACATCGAGATCCAGGTATTCCAGGTGTTGTTTTGAAACATAAAAGTCTCGTCCGAAATCCAAACTTAATACTGTTTTAATAAAGTTAATATCCTATGTATAAACCTAAAATTCTTAAATTATTGAAAAACTATGTCGAGCGCAAAATGTAGTGTCACATTTTGAAATGTGAAATGGGAAAGTAAATAATCTAAGCTAATATGGCTCGTTGTTCGATTCGTTAGCATTAAATTCATACCGATAATAAATTCAAATTGAAACAGTTTACATATTTTTTTTTTTTTGAGATTATGTTTCTTATCACACACGAGGAGAACCCATTTTTTCCCCAGTGCCTTCAATAACTGACCATTAATATTTATGGTTATTTTTTATGAATAAACGTCTCAAACTCACCTGTTATATCGTATATTAAAGACGCGTATAAAAAAATAATAAAATTTCTATTAAATGATTTCTAAATATTTTTTATCGAGGAGTCGGACACCTTGGTCATAAGGGTGCAATAATAGTTTTTTTCTAAAGTTTAGAATCAGGTCAGGCTAGGTTAGACGATGAACTCGCTTGTCGCGTTGATTCTATATAACTCTTACACGAAAAAAAAAATAAGATTTTGGTATGGGTAAAATAAAAGGCAACCCCTATATTTTTTTCGGGTAGAAAGATGAAATGTGCGCGGTGACCGCGCTGCACCGGCCCGTAAATCGGAAGCATCCGCCCGGCAAGCCGCTAATTATAACGCCGCTCGGAACACATGGTGCGGACGAAGACGACAATGTAATATTCATTATTGACGTTTCACCGCAATAGCTGCACGAGCCGTTACGATAAAAAAAAAAAAAAAAAAGTATATTAATATAAATGCACTGTTGTATTCACGCGGAATAGATAATATTGTTCTATCATTATTATTGTCTTTCGGTTCGACGCCCATATAAATTGGTTTTATATGCAAATGTTTCGCGTATGCGTTTTCATATAAAGAAAAAAAAAACCACCTAATATACAGTATGCAAACGCGTCGTATTTCGTATATAGATTGCCGTTCGAACGAAAAAAAAAAATAAAAAAAATTCTGGTTCTCGTATATTATATGTATAATATGATAACGAGTAGTAAAAAAAAAAAAATCTATTAAACGTTTTATTATTAATCTTAGAGAGGTTTGCCGGGGTATATATTATTATAATATAATGTACGCGAATCATTCGAGATCGTATACATTCGATAAATATCAATTTTACTACCGAGCGAATCCTACGCGTGTACATAGGTTTAGGTTCGTGCCGTGTACTCGCGTAAATATCGCGCTAACAGCGTCCTCCCCCGTATACCCGGTTACGTATTTTAGCTGTCGTGTACCTTATACTATCTGTCATAATGTATAACCTAACCTAATACACTACCTATGTTAATGTTCAGGTGACCAATTGCACCGTCCACGGACAGTGGTCGAGTTGGTCGGACTGGTCGGCGTGCACGCAGAGTTGCGGTTCCGCCGTGAAAGTCCGGAAGAGGACTTGTGGAAATCCTGCGCCGGCGTTCGGCGGTCGCGTGTGCGTGGGACGCGACACGGACGAAATGTTTTGCCATTCGAATCCGCCTTGTCCGGGTACGTGCGGAGTTTTATGAAAAACATTTGTACAAAAAAAAAAATGGCCATAATTAATCCGGTTTTTATCCCACACAGTTTCCCCGCCGTCCGTGAAAGAGCCCGGTTGGGGCGCTTGGGGCCCGTGGGGCAGGTGTTCGGCGAAATGCGGCGGCGGCTTCCGGCAGAGGTCGCGGCAGTGCGACAATCCGCCACCGCAGGAAGGACAAGACTGCGTCGGATGCTCGGAAGAGTACGAACTGTGCAACCAGAAACCGTGCGTGGAAACCAGCAAGAAAGTGACGGCCTGGACGCCGTGGGTACCTGCCGGCAATGGCACCCACAAGAGGTACAGGTTCTCGTGCCGGACGCTGCCGGAACAGTCGACGATGACTATTATGCAGGACAAGGAGGAGAACAGGCTGTGCCAAGACGGAACGTGTCACAGACTCGGTGAGTTCCACTAAGAGCAAATGATCGGTTAACTATACTGAGCGATTCGGAATTTCAAGAGATTTAAATTTTGAATATCATATCAGAAAACAATTGTTGATAACATAGGCATATTATATATAGTTCTCAATATTATACTGGGAGTCTGAGAATTTTCTGTTTGCCTGGTGAAATGTGTTATTATAGGTCAGTTTTTCGATTTAGATATTTATTTTATACAAATTACGAAACAAACAAAAACGAATATAATTTGAATTGCTTATAGATTTTTTTTCCCAGTGACGATCGTCGGCCCGTACATTTTTGAAATGACGTGCATCGGAAAATGTCCAAACTTTGCTCGTAATGATCGATTATATCTCTAGACTGTAAAAAAATCCGTCGTCGATTCGAACTTTTTTCAAGAGCGTTAGGCTGTCTGTAAAATCACTTCAACGAAACATATAATATTTAATTTATTACTATACGCAACGATAAATCATTGCTAACGAAAAATGATCTGAGCAGAGTTATTATGTGTCATATTTTTCCCCTTGTTGTCAAGGTAACCACTTCAAAAATCAACACAATTTTCTTGAAAAATTGCAATTTTTTCCCCATTTATTAAAAAATACCAATAAGCAAATCAAAAAAAAAGAAAAAAATGATCAACCCGATGTACCAACTAGATAAAATATGCTACATGAAAATTCCTATGAAAATGAAAAGTTTTTGAACAGATACAAATAAGGGGAAAAACAATAGAATAATCAGAACATTCCGAAGAATGTGAATTGATTTACTCAATATCTAAAATACGAAACGAGATATCTATACTCTGGGATTCGGAATGATTTCCAACGGAAAAATGCGCATTGGCTTTCAAACCACTGTTGACTAGGTATACATTTTTACGGTTTGATTATTATTGTTTTGTAGATCAATCGTCTGATTCGGAAGATTCGTGGTCAGAGTGGTCGCCGTGGAGCACGTGTTCCGCGGACTGCGGCGGCGGTGTCCAAGTTAAAACTCGGACTTGTGACGGCCCCGTGGACAATTGCGAAGGAATGTCCAGACTGACCAGACCTTGCAATACGCAAAAGTGCAAAGGTAACGTATGAAAAAAAAATAAAAAATCAATCATTATATTTCATACTATTACATCACAATAGTCGTACGAATATTTTACAACTTTATCGTTTACACATTGTAGGAGAATGGAGTTGTTGGACGGACTATGGCGAGTGTTCGGCGACGTGCGGTGGGGGCGTGAGAATACGGACGCGCAACTGCATGCTCAAGGGCATGTTCGCTGAGGGGTGTGAAGGCCCTTCGGAAAGCGTGGAACCGTGTTACGTGCCTTGCCAAAACATAGACATGGGTTGGGAACAGTGGTCCGAATGGTCGGACTGCGACAAGGACAACCAAAAGCACCGGACACGAACGTGCAGCCTGGAACATTGTCAGGGGCCCGAAGTCGAAACCGTGTCTTGTTTCGAGACCAACAGGATCGGTGAGTAGCGATCCGTACATTAATAATGTGCGTAACGCGGTGTAAACGTGATTTCGGCAAATGCGGAACCGGTAAACAAAGACACCGCCGGTCTGCGTAAACCGTCCGCGAGAGCCCGGCTGCGGATCCAGGGGGAGGGCACAGGGGCATTATAATTTATAATTGATTTATTGAAAATATAAATAATAACGTGTAAAGAAAAACAAAAAAAAAAAAAAATGTCCGGATCCGCCGCCGCGAGGGCCCATATATAACTGTTAAAAAAAAAACTTTTATCTATATTATAGTGAACAGATTACGATTTTATTTTTGCAGAGAGTTCGAGCGGCTCCGCCGTGTTGGCGTGTCTGGTGTCGTTCCTGACGGGCGCCGCGTTGACTTGCGTCGCGTTTTACGCGTGGCAGAAACGGCACAAGCCCAAGCTGCCGAGCAGCCCGCACTACATCACCACCAAACAGAACCCGTACGTGACGGTGCCGATGAAGGAATACCGCGGACCGGCCGCCAAGCGGACGCCGTCGTTCACGAAACCGTCGACGGTCGCGGCCCATCATAACGGAAACGCCGGGACCGCGGCGGCGGCCGCCGCCGGTACGCTGCCCAAGTTGTTCAACAAGACGGGCGACTACGAAACGGCCACCATCAAGCGGAACAGCCACAGCCTGGTCAACGGGCACATGAGGACCAACCGCGGCCACGACCTGGAGCAGGAAAAGTTTTTCTGACGCGGGCAGTTACCGCCGCCGCCGCCGCCACTGACGCCCGTGGCCGGTGACCGGCGTTGCGGTACGACGACGCCTGTTGTCAGCAGCCTCTTCCCGCGGCCACTTCAACCCCACCCGGTCGATTGATACTGTGGTCGTGTAATCGAGTTCATCGATCGGCTTATTCGGTCGAAATGTCACGCGATCGTAAAAATCGAAATGTAATTATGAATATCATAGTCGCGTGAGATTACTCGACACATCATCTCATCGTATTAGATCAAAATTTGAATTTTCGTTTTTACCATCAAAAAACTTTTGACCAGATAGCTCTCAGATCGTTTTTTTTTTTTTCTAACACTCGACTTCCGGCCGCACGATTTTCGACCGGATCACTCCCCTCTCCCAAGCCACACACCTTTTCTCCAAACGTCCGTAAAGACTAGTCATTAACGTTTCTCTTCCGCCGTGATCCAATTACCGGCATAAACGAGCAAACGAGTATATTCTATTATAGCTCGGCAATTCTATTATACACTTGCTGTGAACGAAATTCCACGCGAAATATAATATTATTTGGCATTCAGTATTATGGACAATTGACCGCGACACGTATCTCGCGATTCCAATAAAGGTCCGGTACGTCCATAGGCGGATATCAGAGGTGGTCCCCTTGTCCCCAGCATATGTTCGAATTGCGGAAGCCGTTTAGTCCTTCCTACAAACACTTGTTAACCATTTTCCCAAACATTTGAATAGATATGTATTCGCATTACGTATCCGTGAGACGTTATTTTTTATCAATATTTCACAAAATATACGTTTTTTTTTTTTTTTCTTATCTTTTGTCAACAGTGATGACAGTAATAATTATAAAGATGGCTCTGTTGTTGGTTTTAAAAAATAAAACATACCTGCTTATTAGTTATTTGGCTATTTGATGCCACAGTTTAGAAAACGATAACCAATAGGTCGCGGGCCACAATATTATACGCAAACGCTATACGTCCTATACAACTCCTACACGAATATAGTGCAATGTCTTCTGTGCCGGCCTTTTTGACTGTGCTTAAAAGAATCTCTTACCAATTGACCTGTATACTGCCGTGTATCGAAACATAATAGACCTATTCGAAATAGAGGCAATGCATAGGCGGAGATTTGATTGAATTCTAAGGAGGCTAAATAGCCAAAAATATCGACGAGCAAAAAGACTTACCCCTTGGGTAGAGTAAAACCGGTAAAAACGACGAGTTCCACCCCCTTCTCCCCTCTATAGATGTGATCAAATATCCACCTATGGGCTCAATTTTGTTTTTTAATATTATATATTCGCCATTAATAACGTAGTCATTATAGATAAATACTATTACTAAAGCCGTGTGTAATATTTTGAATGCCGAATACAATTTTTTTAAACAATCATAGACTTATGCATCTACACGGCACATTCAACCCGAGGACTGGGAGACGTGATCGGTCCGAACGGATCAAGAGAGATAGACTGATATAAAGCCTAGCGCGAGACAGGGTCACATTTGCACTCCGAGTACAGCCGATTAAAACGCTCCGTTAAAATACCTCGCGTGTTTCTGTCCTCGAAATGAAACTCCGCTCACCGGAACGTGTTTTCACGTAGAATGTTCCGTCTAGACGCATAAGCCCGAGGGAATAATACAGTGTACATAATAATATTATTGATAAGATAGGTAACCGCAGAATGTTATAATTTTGCATACTCGGACGAGTAGTACGTTTTGTGCCAATATTGTATAAGTATTCGCGATTGATCTGTGTTTTTGATTGACCGTGCATTATTATATTTTAACGACTGAATAATTTGTTTTAATATACCTGTTTTTTTTTTTTTACGTTATATTATATTATAAGTTATACGCGAACAAAATACGTGATATTATCACTTATAATAATATTATTATTATTATGATAATAATAGATATATTAACTCATATTGAGTAGATTGGTATTTTTATAATATTATATTATATGTATATACAAAATTAATTATGTTAATTTTTTTTTTTTTTTTTTGAAGTTGTCCAAATTTTATTTATATATTATAATTAATGTGTATTTTTCAAATGTTAAAAAAAAATCTTTGCTGTGAATACAAATTGTGTATATTTTTTTTTTCATGTGAATGTGACTATAGTTTTAAGTAAAATAAAAAATAGAATAACATTATTATTATTATTTTTATACTATTTTCATTCGTTTTTTTTTTTTTCTATCACCTTTTAATTTCAAATCTTAATTATATTGTAATTGAATATTATACCTGGTCTATAAAATTGGGCGAATACCTTGGGTTACACATCGGGGTTGAGAGCATGCTTCGGATATTTAATTTTGAGAAGGTATTTCGATCCAGCATATACTTCCGTAAAGTTAATCTATATTGTCGTAGAAACTCCAAAACTGTGCCAATATTTAACAATCTTTGTACAGCTTTTGGTAACCGAAATTAAAAAAGACGGACATACATCGCACGTTAGTAGGCCACTGTTGTAGGTGAGAAGTTTAGAAAGTAGAGGATAAATTTAACGTATATCTGTATGCAACGATTAGCCATATCCATTATATCTATACTTTCTCTAATAATATTTATTTAATATTTACTTTTTTTTCCCATTTATTACCAAAAAAAAAAAAAAAACGACTGACAAAATCAAAAAATAATCTTTCTAAAGTACCACCCCGGACAAATTTCCTTTCAGAAAAAGGGCCATCATGGTAAATCGGAACAAAATTGCTGGTAGAAAAATTGTGTTCACAGGAAAAAAAGGCTGTAATAATTTACTAATTTTCCAGTTTTGGTATATCTGGATTCAGAAAAAAATTAGAAAAAAAAAAAAACAATACTATACTCATGATTTCAATCTTACGTTTTACGTTTGACTGTAGTAGCAAAATTATATATATAAAAAAAAAAATGCAACAAACAAGGTAATCAAATAAACAAACAATATTTTTAAAAAAAAATAACGTACAAACGTACGTTATTTTACCAATACGTATAGCTATAGAAGCATAAGGCGGTATAAAGAAAGCAGTGGGCTTCTTCCTTCGTTTGGTCGTCCGTGATTTATCGATCATTTCCTGAAAATATAAGTAGGTACATTAAATGGTATGTACCTACATTCGGTTATAATAATGTCTTTTGCGAGACAATAAGTATCGTGACGCAAAATGGTTATTTATTTATTGCTAAATTATTCGATTTTTGACATTTCATTACCTATTCTGAGCTACCCACATATAATAAAGTCATTAAATAGGTAAGTGGCATTTTTAGTTTATAATATCGTAAAAATTCACAAGAACCAACGTCTGCAGCAGTCTCCTGAGATGCATATTTTTACAGTAGCAAAGCATAATAATATATTAGTAGGAGATTATCACGGGAACCATTTTGCCGTGTCGATATTTCATTTTTTTCTACTATTATTTACGTATTATCTACCGCCATATGTTCAAAACGTAATAATCTGGTGGTAGTGATCGGTAAGTAATACTTATCTGAGTTTTGTAAGTACCGCGAGTTTTTGATATGAAAATGATACTTTGCGATACCTATCGGCTATTCCATTACCTACTACATAAGTATATAATAATATATTAACAGAATTTTTTTTGTTTTCGTGAACATACCTCGATCGGATGTGAATAATTTCGAGATAAATCTTTTTTGAATTTTTTTGAATGCGGATTGGGAAAGTTTAAACATTTAATATCGTAATTTTCTAAATGGTTTAAACCATCCTTCCAATAGTCCGGTAAATGGCTAAAAACAAAACCACACACGCACGCACATTATACAATATAACTCATAATTGTAATTATTTATACCAAAACCTTAGAAAACCACTTACAGTCGTATTCCTTGGACTACAGCCCCCCTAAAAGTTCCCCAACAATCTCCAATTCGGAATCGTCATTTCTAAGCCACCAATACAACTGATCAAGTGAAAATGACAATGAATATACGCATACATTTCCTGCGAAATGTTAAAAAAAATGTCTATATTTAAATTACATAACTATGGTCTCATTGTAACATATATATTTGTTTTTTTTTTTTGTTAAATAAATTATTAAATATTTGACGGCAAAGGCAAATTCGCCGGCGAGTAGCGATAATTAGGCGCGATTCTCTTTTGGCATAGATTCGCCCGATGTAAAACACAAATTACTCATTTTAAAAAGGACAAAAAAAAAAAAAAAACATAAAACGGTTTTTCGGATATACGCGCGTACCTTATCAAAACGATTGTGTTCCGCACTGCGACGGTTTTTTTTCTCACGTAGTCAACACAGTGCCACCGAGAAGAAGAACATTGTTTTGTTATATCACAACAATATAAAAATATATTGTTAATCACTGTTGTATATTATAAACTAGAAATACATTCATATTTACTTTAGAGACGAGAATAAAAATTGTTTTCTAGAATTTTAAAGAAATATTTACATGTTTACATTCAATTCCTAAATAATATTGTTCAATATAACGTAACAAAAACAAACATATTAATTCCCTAATACATTGTAGATTTCTATCTAAGAACCTTCTGTATAAATGGCCTGATATGCAGTAGACACACCTTTCGGGAACATCACTGTTTGTAATAATATTGCACGACAGTGTAAATGATATTATATTGTTTCGGTAATGCGTTGACAATTTTAAATGTTCCGCGTTTCCCAAATCCCGGGGCACGGTAATGTCGGTCACGTGGCACGCGGTCACGTTGGTCACACTTGAAAACGATGACATTTTGATACACGCGTTCCAGCTGCGAGGTTATCGCGACGACGCGGCCGCTCGCTTATCACGACGAAACGTAACCATAACACAGTTGGCACTTTTGTTTTCGAACAGGTCGGAGCGTACTCGTTTCGCGTCAACTGTAGTGAATTAGTCGTTGTCGTCGTCGTCGTAAGTTTTCGAGGAAATCCAAACAAATAACGCTTCTACCGAATCCATGAAAATGATGACCCGGCATAGTTGTGTTCTGGTGTTCACGCTGTCACTGTACGCGCTAATGTCCACCGCTTCCGCCAGTTGTAAGTATTCCGTAGATTCGTACACCACCACCGACGCGATGGTCGTGACGGAGGCGGCGTTTATCGCTCAGGTCAGTGCCGAATGCGAAGATTCGCCGGCAAATTTGTACGCCGAAGTGGAGGGAAAACTGGTGGTCGCCGCCAACGCTGGCCCGAACAAATACCAAGTGAGTACAACAGCCCCAAAGTTTTAATTTTCTCATATTGGTACGGTTTTTTTAAAATTTTTATTAACGTCCAAAAATATCGCAATACAGGTCAGTTGGTTGGACGACTTCAAAAAGGCTCGCCGTGGAGATTACCTGGTCAACTTGTATGACGAATCCGGTTATGGACAGCTGAGAAAATTGTTGCGCGACGGTGAGTCAATCAGCGGTGTGACGCCCGTACACTCGGCATATGTACGTTATCCGGGTGCTTACAAAGGAGTTTGGGTGAATTCCGAATTCCTGGCGGCTATCGTGAGCTTCGTGCTGTTGTATGTCGCTTATACGTTTAAGTCGAAAATTGTCTCCTAATCGAAACTAAGTAACGTGCAATATAAACTATTTCGTTGGAAGGTCTGTAAAGATTTTATATGACTGTAATTGTTGTTATTATTTTTCAATTCATAAAAGTAATTGTTAACATTACATTATATGAATTAATTAATTTTAATTTAAATGCCAAAATAATAAAACATTTTTTGTTCAATTTTTGTATGTTAATAACTTTATAATGGCTGTTGAAAACATCTAAGATTTTTTTTTAAATATACATTTTTTATATACGAATCTACGATCTCGTATTTTATTTTATAAAAAATATTGTATTTAAAAGTAAAATGCATTATTGCAGTGATGTTTATTATTGTTATTATATTCAATATGTTTGTAATACATTATTGATAAGTCTGTTACTATAAACTCTAAATGACATTGTGTGACTTAGTGATCTATGTTAAGAACTTTTTAAATTATCGGACATTTAACATCCAATCGATTTAAATAGATAATGTGAAGTTTTAAATTTTTAAAAAATATATTATAGGTACTAATCATAAGTTACTGATTAATATTTATATTGTAATTGTGAGAATATACCTAAGTATATGTATTGAACAAATTTTCCGGGTTCAAATTATGCGTAAAATAATCAATAATTAGCACTAGAAAAAAAATTTTTAACTGGTGTAAGGTGCAATTAAAAAAAAAAAAAAATAACTATACATTATACCGGGTGGTCCATTAAGGTAGATAAGTATTTACTTTTTTGGAATTTGTTTTCTAGAACATTTTAGAAACAAGCAGATCTACAATTTATTTTTATATTATTTTTTGTCATTCTTATTTTTAGGAGTAAAACCACTACCTAATTTTTGATTTTCAAATGGCAACCTATATTAAAAATTCCATAAATAGACAGAGTATTAGTTAAAATAAATTTTAGTGTTGAAATTTTTAATTTCTGTCGATCTATTGATTGATATTCCACTTTTAAGTTTGGGTTGGAGGAGAGTAGTGAAGTATTATTTGTGTGGTGGTGCGGTGCTTGGCGTGTACACTACAATGCACCACTACTCTCCTCCAATCCAACTGAAAATTGGGATATCTCATCAACAGCTTGACAGAAATCAATTTTTTTTAACTAATACACCGTCTATTAATGGAGTTTCTAATATAGGTTGCCATTTGAAAATCAAAAGTAGGTAGTGGTTTTATTCCTGAATCTAAGGGTGACAACAAATAACATAAATATACAATTGTTGAGTAGCATGTTTCTTAAATTTTCTAGGAAACAAATTATTGAAAAATGTATTACTTTCTGAGATAATGAATGTACCCACTTAAATGGATCACATGGTACAAGTTGATTTACTTAGCCACTCAAGGTTACAATAATATTATTGTATTGTATTTACAGAAGATTTCAATTTACTTAAATTTTAAAATCTATAACATTCATTCATTTTCAGTAAGTGAAACACTTGACAATTTTTTTATATTTATTTTTTCATTTTTTGTTTTGCCCAGGCATAGCTTGTAGGACAGTTACTTGGCTTTTGATGATTTTGTTTTGTACTTGGTGAACGGAATAAAATTTTTTAAATCTAAAATACTTCAAATATACAAAAAATAACAGTATACAATTTTTTATTTGGAGTCTCAGGTGTTTAAAACAAAATATGTTAAGTTCACTCTGCTATTTTTATTTGTATCCTATATTAATTAGCAAGTGCTATAAAATCTGAGCCCTGATCATTAGTTAATATTTTTAACACCAACATTTTGTTTTCTAAATATATAATATTTAAATAGCTATCTTGGATTTTGTAAAAACAAAAAAAAAAGTTTTTTTAAATTTAATTTTAGAACCTGAGTGAAGCAAGGAATGTATTGGTTTTACAATGATATTTATTATTATTATTATTATTTTATTTATTATACTGTTTACAACATTTTTTCTAAAAATCTTTCTCAAATCAAAAGATATTTTTTTGTTGCATTTTGGCTCTAGATGGTATTATAGAAGGTCATTTTTTGAAATTCTCATTAATATTTTAGATAAAACTGGTTCTTTAGGTTAAAAATAATGTTCTCATTGGCAACTGTTTTTAGTTATTTATTATTATTATTAAGTTTCCATTATTTTAATCTTTTAATCTTTTTTAAATAATTGTTGTAAAAAATGCACAAAAAAGCAGTACCATTGGATTTTTTTTTCGTTAGTAATGATTAATCGTTGTGCACAGATATAAATTAAATTCTCTATATCCTAATTTTTCAACTTCTCATCTACAACAGTTGCTCACCCATTGTGCAAAGTATGTATGTCTTTTTTTATTTTTTATTTTAAAAAAATGAATATCAAATATAGAATAGAAGTATCATAGCTTGATGATTTAATAATTATTTATTATTATTATTATATTAAAAAAATATTAAATAGAACAAATATTTTCATTTGTTGAATCTTAGGTGACCCCTTGTATATTATTATCATATTTTAATTTAAATATGAATACTAAATATAAATTAATACTATCCAGTATGAAAAGAAATAGCTTTCAACATTTAAAATTATTTTAAGAATTTCAAAAATGCTTCCTTAATTAAAATATGTAATTTATTTAGGATTCTACACATAATTATTGTATACTAGGTTACTAAATTATTTTAAAATTGTGTATGAAATTATAGTTTTTTGTTAAAAATTTTAATTTTCTCATTTATATACTTATAACAATGTTTAATTATAACTAAATATAACTGATACAATTTTATTTTGATTGATTTAAGTTTTAGCTTAACACAATCAATATTTGTACACAATAATTTTGATACTTAAATTTGTTAACCTTTAACTGATAAAGTGGATTTATGCAATATAATTAGTAAAATATGCTATGTCATACTGTTTAACTTTCAACAGTGATATCCGTGTATTATTACTGAATATTGAGCCATTCTGATATAAGCATTGAAAATAAGAGTCATATGATAAACTGCACATAACTGGTTAAGGATTAGGTAATATTAAGTTTACAATACATAAATTAGTGTTTTGGAGAAAATTCAATATAATTTGGAAACAATTTGATAGACAGGTTCCTTATAAGTAGTTCAATGGTAAAGTAATATTGCAATATAAACTGATAATAACAAAAACAGTTAGATAAACCAACATATTTTTGAGTCGCAAGTCTTGGAGTTATAAGTAGGTAATAGTGTGTTATAAAGCTTCAAATGTATTATTAAATGGGTTAAATTCAAGGTTCAGCCAAGAATCATATTATGATAAATGCTATTGGAATGATGTTAAACTTGAACCTATTATACACCACTAACGAAGAAGTTATTGCTGAGATTAAAATTTAAACAAATGTTCAATGTTTCAAATGGTATATTGGGTTCAAACTAGAAGGTATATAATTGGTAAGATGGTTAAAAGAAAACCAAAAATGACAAGTTTTTTTAATTTTAATAAATGTTGGTAATCTGTAAAGTAATAAATAATTGTTATTACTTATAGCTAAGTTAACATTCGCAAAGAAAAAATTTTGAAATACAATGTTACAAAAAATACTGGAATGTCTTCTAACATTGTAATCTGTTGAATAAAAAATTTAAAAAAAATCCATTAATATTGAAGAAGTAATTAATCAGTTAAAAAGTATAAACATCGAATGCAGAATAATGTGAAGTATGTATATGCATTTGTGTTTTTGTTTAAGTTTCAGTGTCCCTCCACTCTTTTGAATAATTATATTGTTTTATAACAATCTATTTTATGTTGTAAAATACATTATTTAAAATAATGTTTATAGTTTATAAGTACACTTTATAAATGTCAAGAAAAACAAACAGTTGTCTTTCCTTTGTACCGTTTTTTCCCAGGTACCCGGTAGTCGGATTAAAAACACGTGATCAATTTTTTTATTTTTGCCCGGCTTTTAGATAACTGGAAATCACGAGCCTTTTGGCTGTTGCTGTGAAATTTAATTTTTCACCGAAACAAAATGGATATCCCTATAGAAATAGCAATACCTAGGTATTAATAATAATGATAATGTTGATTGACAATTGACATATTAATTGTATTACAGCACGTTGGTAGGTACCGTTCAGGGACCTATGTGTTATCGACGATTTTCGCATTGGTGTGTATACAAAATGGTTATACCGTGTTCACGATATAATTTGTATACATATTTTTTAAAATAATGGCTATTCGTATTGGTTTTTTTATTGGCTCGGAAACAGTGGCGTACACACAAAGAAGGGGGAGTTTGGGCGTCAAAACCTCCCCATTTTATTTTTTCTACGATGTAAGTGAAACCTACAAAAAATTATTATAATTCCCTAAAGAAGAATTGGTTTAAAATTATGATAGGTATATTGTATATGAATTGCCCAAGTATTTTAAATTCTGAGTGAAATCCCTGAGAAACTTCAAAGAATTCATGTAAAACCATTCCGACTAGTAGTTTAATTTCTCGAAATAAAAATTACTTTTGTAATAATATAATCAGCTCCATAGGCGTCATTAGGTGTAGCGGAAGGTGGCGATCGCTGCCCCGACATTTGTATAGGGGTTGCAAATTAATGGATACGCCACCCTATGTTTTGGTTTTTTTTTTTTTTTTTCATAATTTAATTATATGTACTGCCGGCTATAATGAACTTGCACGTATAAAAAGATCATTCAATCGATTTTTTAATACCATCATTAAAATAAATGCGACATAATTAATTTACCCAAAACAGTGTTGCTTGTGGCGGGGCAAATGAATTACAACAACAAACATTTGTTTAAGATTTACATGCACATAATATGATAATATATAGGTGGAAAGTAGCTTTTAAACATTTAACGATTTAAAAATATACAATATTATCATTTACAACAATTCATTTAATAACCATGATTGAATAATATTCTTTTGTTATGCATAGGTACCTACTTTAGTTTGGCATCATGGAAAATACTTTTCTTTGTGTACAGTGGTAGTGAGTTGAAGTTAACTGAAACCAGTTAATTAACTTATTATCTAGGTACCTCTAAATAACACTCTGTAAATTGTCTATTCGCGTGATTTATACTAACGTTATAATACTCTCTAAAAATTGCTTATCTAATTTCTATCTAATTCTAAAGAGCGATTTCACCATGGCTTATTTGGCGATTCACCGACCGTTTCCTCACTTCGTTATAGAAGTCACAACGGAATTTAAACCGTTTGTCAAGATGGTGGCCACCCCGCGATTTCACTTGAAATGACACCTATGCTCAGCTCAGTAGGCGTATCATCTTATGAACATTTTCCACTTTTCGAGCCCCCCCCCCCTCCCCCCGGTTCTAACGGACAGCAGTGGATGATCTGTGTAAACGTCTGCGTCCCTTTACAAATAACTTATGGAAATTTCGCACGGCTGTACGGTATTACAGGACGATATTTTATTAACGTCGTGTAGTGTACGCAGGCGCCTATATTATTATTACTATTACCTACTGTGAAACGTCGACCGAACTCTCGGACGAAAAGGTCAAGTCGAGTGCGGTGTTATCTCCGCTCGCCATACGCGCGCGAGGCGAAATTTATGCCACAGGACCGGACAATAATGCGTTTTAACAATATTATAATATCGTATTTGATTAGGTAATATTGTTATTATTAGGTGCCTACCGATCCCGAAGTATAGGAATAATAATATTATTATTATTTATAATATGATATTATAATACCGTTATGAATGTCAGGGACACGGACTAAGGCAGGTAAGTAGATATTTTAGTTCGTGGTCGAGGGTCATAAATCCGCAGTCCGCGGACGACACCGATATTCGCGGGAAAGTTAAATGTATTCGGTTCTGGTTTCAATAACCGTATTTCAATAATAAAAATTATTAATATTTCTTAATTTCTCGTGAGATTTCTTCCCCGTTCGTTACCTACTTACCTATCAATGGCATTTTCAGAGGTCAAAAGTGTGCCACGAACTGTGTGTAATGATATTGTTTTAAAAACGAGATAATTGTCCGTTATTTATTTTCCTCGGAAAATAAATAAATCGCTAGACCGTTGCCGAATTAAAGAAATGTTTCAATGGCCCCTGTCACGGACCAAGATACATGTCTTGGTCCGGGCATGACCGGTTTCCGTCAAAAACGTACATTTCCCCTTTCCGCCAAATCATAAAATTGGTCGATTCCCTTTTCCGCCAATTCACTTTTCGGTCAAATGAAAACAATTATTCTAATATTTGAATATCAATGGACAATTATATGTATGCATTACAATTATTAGTTAGAAAACAAAAATTAAATTAAAAATTATAAAGTTTTTTCTATTTATGTATGATAAAAATCGCGTTTATTATTTATAACGGGATAGACCCAAGTGTGGTAATTGAATTATTATCGGGACTAACGGTTTTTATTTCTGCGAGGCATGGTCAACTGGTCTAGGCTCTCCAGCCCACGGGTTCCTCCGGGCGTCTGTTCTCCCGGACGTCCCTGTCCGGGCGCCAATGTAACGGGCCGGGATATTTGCGGTCGGTTAGCTATCATAAAATGTACACGACAAGTGTAGCTAACCAAGTCGTGGTTTATTCGGGTATTACGACACAATACAATACAAATGCTTCCGTAACAATAGCATAGATGCACGCGTTAATTAAACGGGGCTGGTCCCGTCGTCCGACCGCTGTCCACATTTTATCGGCTGAGCTTATTGCGTGACTCGGCGATACTCGGATATTCTCAGTTTTGCGCAGAGTATTTACGTGCGCCGACTCGTCACTATTGATTCGAATTTTCCAACGTATTGTCCAATTAATGATGTGGTCGATTGAGGACTTTTTCCGAAAGGAAATCTGACTGGGAAGTAC